AATGGCGCCTGCCAGAAGCTCTTTATTTATACGGTATATCGCTTCAGCGTTCTAGCCTGGTGAAGTGGGCTGAACCATACTTTACCTCGCCAGTTGTCTGAAGCAGCAAGAAAAGCAAATTGTTGTGTATATGTTTATACAGCCGGAAGTTAGTCTGCCTTAGTGGACGTCCGGTGTCTCAGCTGTAGATGAGCAATTTAGCCAGTGCGGTACAACCGCTAGCCTAAGGTCTTTAACGTGCACCACACAGTTGTGGCACACGACCGCACGCCGGTACGATGCTCATCCTGATCGAAACGGGGGGGGGGGGGGGGGGGGGGGGGGGGGAATTGAGCCCAGGATCTTTGGGTTCTGCAGCGCGAGGTTTGGCTTCACGTGCTCCGAGCTGGTGTGCGCTGGCCCACTCGGCCACCGATCCTCCTTGAAGTGCTATTGAAGGCCAAGGATGGCGCTTAGTCAAACTTGTAACTAGGGTGCCTACATGTCTGTCTGTCTCTGGGTGAAGACATCCATTGTTGCCCCAAATGTGCCAGCGCGTGACGCTCTCGCGCACTCGGTGCGTGACTTGGGCGGTAATATGGCGTCTATAAATTAGCCAAAGCTAGGCGCTCGAGCTAAGTGACACCGGATTGCGCGCACTTCAAAATGCATAAAAAAACGATTGGGCGGAAAAATGGCTGAGATGTCACCACTCAAGCAAAAGCGCGCGTGTGTATGAAGGCACTCTACTTGTAACAATAATAAACATTGCCCCTCTGTCAAAACACAGACAAACTTCGAGCGTCCCGATACCTGATTAGTACCGAATGTTGACGAATATCTTATTGTGTTGTTGGTTTACTGGTAAAAAAATGGTGTTGTCTGTATAGTTTAGAAAACCCGAGGTTAACCTCAGTGGGCGTCTGGTGTCTGAGCTGCAGATGAGAAATTTAGCCGGTGCAATACCATTGCCAGTTTGGGGATCTTTAACGTGCATCACGCAGTAATGATATGCCACCGCATGCCGGTACAATGCTGATCCAGATCAAAACGCGGACAGGGGTGAGGATTGAACCCAGGATCCCTGGATCCTGCAGGGCGTGGAGCTTCCGCCCCTCGCGCTGCGAGCTGCGGCGCGTTAACACAATCGTAAAATATGTTGACGATAAGGAATAGATGAATGCGCAATATGCCAAAGAAGTTATAATAAACTCTGCAGAACCCAGGATACTGGGTTCAATCCCCTCCCCTGCCCGTTTCGATCTAGGTGAGCATCGTACCGGCGTGCGGTCGTTTATCACTACTGTGGGATGCACGTTAAAGACCCCAGGCTAGCGGTTGTACTGCACTGGCTAAATCACTCATCCACAGCTGGGAGACTCGTCGCCCTTGGAGGCAGACCAAGTTCTAGGCTGTATAAACATACACACAATCCAATTTTTTTATAATCAACTGTTGATTTAGCAAAAGTCAGGCTATACTCTGCCAAAGCTGCTGGCACGAGCACGGGGTTTTATCTCGCGGATCATTTGCATGCGTTCTCGCCCAAACGATACCACAGATGAAGCCACGCGCTCACGCCAGTAGCCTTGACAGCGTTGTAAAGGAAGTATAAAACAGAGAATACACCTTTTCCACAAGGGCGCACCCCTCTTGAATGAGGTCACTTCTGGTGTGCGTTAAAACATCGTTTTGATATCTCCCCACCGCTGGAATGTGTTCCGGAAAAATGCGTTATCGTCACACATTGTTGTTTTGCCTCACCTATATTTTCTAGCTATTCCATGTTGAAATGTTTTATTACTTTTTCATCCCTCATATTAGATAAGCAAGCCACGTGACTGAGAACGGAAGGAAACGAAAAACGTTTATAAGTAATAATCTGAGTACAGCTAACTGTGTTGTTCCACTGTAACCAACCTCGGTGCCTCGTCCACGTCATGAAACATGGAATGTTGGTCTGGCACAAGTATAGGCCATTCGTGGTCATAACGACATCTAAAACCACGAATTGCTCCAAGCGAACGTTTTGGTACAACACACCTTGTCTGTCGTCTACGTGTTCCTCTTCTCTGTCCTTGTCCCTGTGTGCGCAACTGTAACTATGTTCAACAACTACCAACTCGCCCAACTGTCTACTCTACTACACCCCTGCCACAGTATGAAGCCCACCATGCATGGTCTACACTGCTGTCTTATCACTATAACTATACTCTCAGCCTCCTAGCAGTGCTCCTCCTTCAAACAGCTGTATGTTCAATAATCCTTTAATTACATAGCTACTTCTTCACCCGTCAAGCCACATGATTTGTCTTTATCTCCGAAATATGCATTATTTGTCGTTTTTCTTTTTTAATTCCTGCTGTGGTTCACTCGCGCTTGATATGTGAAGTACTCGTTTGCTAAACTTCACATACGGTTGCTCGTTGAAATAAATCATATATTTCTTCTTTGTCCTTTGGCATTTAGCATTGAGGTCTACCATAGCCTCCTCTATACACACAAAGCCTGGCAAGTTCGATGACGGAGCCATAGAGTGCCCGGTCGCAGATTTGGAGCTCGAGGATCTGTAGCAAAAAACATTTCTCGGGGAGTCCGGTATTCAACGCGCAGCTTTTGCAGCGGCGAGGACCCGAAACATGGTTTTCAATGCCGACGAGAAAACAGGCGGTTGCCCGAGGAACGCGAGAAGCACGAGCGGACATTCAATCGCTCGGGACAAGTGTGTTTCGGCGTCTCGCCGCAGCGGGGCGCCCGTTACATGACTCTTGTATAGACTCTTGTCTGCCGCTCTCCTTTTTCACTTTTGCCGTCCGCGTCACGTGACGATTTGCCAGGCTTTGTCAGAATAGAGGAGGCTATGAGTCTACCCACTATCCCCTCAAAGCCAAGAGATCACCGCAACTCTTGTGCAGAAAACCAGACAAAATTGGGGTATGTCCATGTTTATACAGCCTAGAACTTAGTCTACCTCAACAGGCTACTTGTCTCCCAGTTGTAGATGAGAAATTTAACCAGTGCAGTACAACCGCTAGCGTCCTTAACGTGCATCACGCAGTAGTGATACACGACTGCACGCCGGTACGGTGCTCATCCAGATCGAAACGGGCAGGGATGGGGATTGAACACATGATCCCTGGGTTCTACAGCTCGAGCTCTGGCTCCACGTGCTCCCAGCTGGTGTGCGCATAGTGTGCGCTAGCCCGGCCACCGATCCCCTCCTGCGCAAGAAGCAGACGACTTGCTTTCTGGCATAGATCACGAAAGTTGCGGATTCTCCTGAAGCCATTGGATGTTAAAATTTTAAACTTCTACTTGATCAAGTGTGCACATATCCGACGTTCAAGTGCCTTACTATCGGGATTTAATTCAAAGCGGGTTTATTAAAACCCACTCAAAGACACGAAAAAGCACGGACCCAGTCATCTACTGAACGCACTAGGGAGAAAGACACACAAGACGCCTCCTGTCTGAATGTCCAGTCAGGATCATCGCCGGCGTGACAAGTTCGCTTTCGATCCTTGGATTGCATTATAAATGTGGCGGAGAGAATAGCTTCAAAGGTGTTACAATGTGATAGATGCTATGATCTTACGCAGCACATTGATTGAGTCGTGTAAGGTGGCACGTCAACTTCGAACAAGCGTCGCTTTTTGTCTTTTTTGTTTATGGTATGTTCTAACGCAGTGTGTCACTATAAATTTACACTGAGAATGCCAAACCAATCACGCATAGATAATAAAAAAACAACAACACATGATCACAGCACATTCAGTGTTTGTGATTGGTTCAGCCGATGATAGCAGACGCATATAAAGGTGACGATCGCCGTGACGATGCTCTTTTGGCGCTGCCTGATTGGCTCCGTCGGAACGTATAGCATTGGCTGCGTTCGGGCTTAAAGGTGCCCTGAGGAGATTTCCAAACTCGCTTAAATATGGAGATAGCTCACTTTGCTGGCTCTATAAGCATCCTAGAAATTCATAAATCATAGCGATGCGCGGCCAATTTCGTTATTATAAAAGTAATCAAAGATTACAACATACTGAGGTCATCTCCAGCGATGGGAGGAGCATTGTTCCAAAACCAGGACCACAAGCGAAGGATCCTCGCGCCATAGAGTTATTGTAATTTACGCTAGAGGTTCAACCGGCGCAGAGTGAGTATCACCATATTTAGTCGATCTCAAGAACCTCCTCAGGGCACCTTTAATGTGCGATTGAGTATAGGGTAACTATACCTTGTCCCACCTAACTATGGACCAGAGTCAAAGCTACGGGCCGCCAGCTCCAACCACGAGCCAGCTAGAAACCAGATGTTATATAATTTCGACGTATCATTGAGCTGCTTTGAAACGCACCCCGTGGCAATAGATCAAGTTGTTTCTATCCGCCTTCTGGTTGGAGATGGCGGCCCGTAGTTTTGGCTTTAGGCCATCGTAGACTGGTGTTAAGTATAAGGACCCTCGTCCTCTTTTCTTCTGGCGGACAAATCTAACCAATACCAAACCTCGAAGCGTCGGCTTATACGAAAGGATCCTGTGACCCGATGGCTACAGCAACAGCCACTGACGCTAGCTCAGCTGTGAGATTCAGGCATCGTTTCTCACCGTGCTGCCGGCCCCTCGAAGCCTCCGTACCGCTGCACATAACCAACTTACACTTGAATGCGCGCTGTCTTCTTAAAGCCACATCGGCACCAAAAAAAAGCATCCGTTTAAGTTTTTGGAATATTTCGTCTTCACAACTCTGTTACTACGCAATGACATTACTTGGGACGAGAGCAAAAATTGTATCGTGTTTCCTCCGGTGAGAGCATTGGGGCCAATTCCGTTTACGAGAGTTCAAATCCAAGGTCCGTCAAAGAGAGAGGGGGGTAAAAACGCGCGCGAAGAGGAGAAAGACATCCTTGACGCTACGTCTCCACGAGTCGTAGCAATCTGGTCCTTTGGGTCGCAGCCCGGGATGATGACCGTGTCGAAATGACCCGTCTCGTCTCCTTGTTTTTATTTCCCCCCACAGATAAGGCTTCCCGCTTAAGACCTCCCGCTCCTATAAATCTTCCTGTCATGGGAAAGGAGGCAGTATCTTGGCCGGCTACGGTGCACGCCAACGGAATCCACCACAAGACAGCCGAGCAGCTTCACCAGGACATCATGAGGGACGCCGTCAAGTTCAGCAACGCGCAGCCGCGAACCTTCGCCCAGCAGCTCTCCACGCAGGGTGGCAAGGTGGGCCCTCCTAGTCTCTTACCGCGAGAGCCGATTCAGAATCCCAGACGAAGCGGAGCACATCGCTGTTTTTCTAGGGGACCACGAAAGTGAACTTCAGCTGGCCCACAGCGCGCGATATTGATTATGAAACGAAGAAAAAAGCGACCTGCAATTGTTTGTTCGGAATTCGAAGAAGTGTGTCTCTGAAAAGTGCTTCCGACTCTTCTGACACGCTGTTGCTGTAGAAAAAAAAAAAAAAAAAATTTCGCACATTGATGAAATTATAGCTTTCGCGCCTAGACGCAGTGTTAACTTAAGAACTGAAGGATGCTCCAGGTATGAACAGTAACTTTCAAGAACAAATTTTCTGAAGGGTTTAGTGCGAACCGGAGCATCGAGACGAGTGCGTACGCTAAAGCGAAGAGCTGTCGCTCAATTCTAAAAGGCCAGCTGAAAGATCACTGTGTTCCTGCGCATTTTTGGAAACTGAATGAATGGTTCACTAAAGCTGACGTTACACTGCCAACATGTCATACAAAAGGCAGTCTGCAACACTGTCGGAGGCGTGATTCTTCCTTCCTGCAACATTGGTCATACAAAAACCGTTTGCAGCCATGTTCGAAGCATATCGAAACAGTTCTGTCATCATGTACTCAGTGAACACGTTCTCTTTTGTATGATATGATTCATGAGCAGCGAGGACAGCGGCATAAAAGATTAGTTGTGCTGTAACTGAGCCGAGATTTGTATGCAGGCGCGTACGTGAAAAACAAAATGGTGTCGCTGTTGTCGACTTGTATGCCGTTGTATCACTTATGTGTGGGTTCGTGATTTAGGCTAGGTTACCAAATAAGCAGCGTTAAAAGCGCTGCTTTGCGCAATCTATGCACTCTCCAGTTGTTTTAAGAATGTGACGCGAGCACCGACCATCGGTAGATCATGCGCATCATCTCGGCGTGAATGGCGAAATCAGCGAGAATAAGCGCGTGTGCAGAAGGCACACTCCAAAATCGGTGTCGTCTGCTAGGCTGTTCCCGGAAGTATGACTCACCCGTGGTCCTGTTATCCGCGCCGGCGCTTGTCCACCACGAACCGGTGATTAGGGGATCGATATCTCCCACGAATCGCTTTCTCGTCTGACACTTTTTCGTGTGTGTGCCGAGAAAAAAAAATCACTCATACACCCTATTGTCTTTATCACCGATTAGCGGTGAAGAGGGGGGTGGCGCGGATAGCAGGAGCAGGGGTGGGTCGTGCTTGAGGAAACAGCCTAGCAGACGTCGCTAACTTTGGCGCGTGCCTCTTGCAAGAGGCACGCGCCAAAGTTAGCGACGTCTGCTTGCGCTTACTGGTTGATTTCGCCACTTCGAGCCTTGAGGATGCGCTGATTTCCGGTCTACGCTCGGGCATTAGGAACTTTTAGCAAAAGTTTACCGTGTTGCGGGTACCCCACCGCGGGAGCCTTTAAAGCATGCTTCTGAGCGCGTGCCCTGCAGTCACGGTATCGCCCGCGGGTACGCGCTTAAAAGCATGCTCCAAGAGCTCCCGGTTGCGCGGTATGCGGAACACGGTATCGGTTTGCTAAAAGTTCCTATTGTTGAAAATCTCGAGGGTGTACTTCAGTGAAGTGCTGTAGCACATGCTTCTTGATCGTGAAAATTACTGACTATATAAGCTGCGTTCTTCCTGCGCGTCGCTGTAGCTGATGTCCGCAGTCACTTGGCGAAGGCCTGCATGTCGGCACGCACGGAAGGTGAAGTGGCAGGCGTCGAGTCACTTGCCCATACACTCTACAGGGCGGTGTCTGGTTAAGACTGAAGTGGAAGCTCATTCACCTCTTTCCACATCACTCTGAACCTGTCACCGACTATAGTGATGCGGCCTATTCACCAGTGGATACTGTATACGCCAGGCTTCAGTTTATCTTATGGTGACGTGGCCTCGTTGAAGCGATGGTGCGAGAGAGCCGAATAAATGGAGACAGCATAATCCTAGTTATTGGAGGAAAGGTGATCAGACCTGCTATGTTATTCGATCTTTTTTCTGTCCGAAGCTCAAATGCGTAAGTCACCCTGTTTTCCGTTGACTTTGTCTACTCATGTGGCTTGGCATTTCATTCACCATTAATAATGCGGAAACTTTAAATGACACCCCTTGAGCGCCAATGGCAGGTACCCACGGAAGGGCACGGGTAAGCACATGATACATCTAGGCCATCTGCCGTGAAATTGACAGACGCCATTTGTTGTTTTTTGTGGCCTTATTATATCGTGGTTTCGAAGTCAATTGGTTAGAGTGGCAGAGATAATGAAGTTTAAGACATATGAAGGTTTTGATTATGATGCAATTTAATGCAAAGGTGCAAGCGAGCTGGACAAGAATAATGAAAATAATCCCTGCAGAAGGGGAACAAGGGGGACAGAGGACAAACACAAATCTCCAAACACAGCTAGGTGTTTGTCCTCTGTCCCCCTTGTTCCCCTTCTCCAGGGATTATTTTCATCATTCTTGTCCAGCTCGCTTGCACCTTTGCATTTAATTGCATCATAATCATAACCATAAATTACAAGCTTCACCCTTGTTGGTGTTAGACTGGTGGCAGCTGATAAAACCCGTTTGCTCTACTGACGTCTAACCCCTGGTTAGCTCACTTGGTAGAGCGCTCCACCTGTAATGGAGAGGTCCCGGGTTCGATACCAGGACCAGGCGGATTTTTTCGGTCGCGCACCAGTCACCTAGCTGTGTTTGGAGATTTGTGTTTGTCCTCTGTCCCCCTTGTTCTCCTTCTCCGGGGATTATTTCCATCATATGAAGGTTTGCCTGACTCAAATAATAAAAATTGCACCATAAACAATAAAAATTAAGAACAAATTACAAAAAAATGTGTTGGCCCATGAGCAGAAGGAAATGTTTCTGGTCTTTAAAAATCACTTCATAGCTGCCTTTTAATTTGCAGATTAAATCAGAATTGATTTTGTTTGTTCGTCTTTCAAGTAAAGCGAGATTTCCTCTGGGTATGAAATAGGTCTAGCTCTTGAAGCTAACATAAAACTGGAGATGCAGTTGTTTGAAAGACTTGTCCACCTACGTCTTCAAGCCTGATTAGAGAGCTCTTATCTCTGAGCGCTGCGGCAGTGAATGCAATCTGCCAGGACAGTGACCGGCGCTCAGCTCGCTTGTCTACTCGACTTCCCGAATGCATCGCTCTCGCGAATCTCGTTTTACCGCAGTGATAAGCGTATATACTACTCCACTTTCTACTTTCTTGCTTTGTATGAGAGAGAGACAGATAACACGAGCTTTTCGAGATCCATTGTGAATGCTCTGATAGCAGACTTGTCGTGCGACTTTTACGAGTGACTGAGAATCGTTTACAGTGCACACATACTCGCGTGTTTCTTTGGCGAGTAGCCAAACTTCCCGCGCAAGTCTTATTCTAAAGGTCACACGGCTTAATACCCATCCCACAAAAGACAGTCTGCGAGCGTTGTCTAATGCGTGTTTCTTTCGTGTTCGTGCACACAGAAGCATGCAGCAAGCAAGCTTAGAACATGCACGATGAGTGCCCGGAGATAATTCTGACACCATGTCACCAGCTAACACTGCCTTTTGTACGATCATAGCCTCCTCCATACTCACAAAGCCTGGTAGTTCGACGGCGGAGCCATAGAGTGCCCGGTCGCAGATTTGGAGCGCGAGGATCTGGTAGCACAGAGCATCAAAGAGACATTTCTTGGAGAATCTGGACGTCAGCGCACAGCTTTTGCAGCGGTGAGGACCCGAAACACACTTGTTCACTTGAGAGAAGTGTGTTTCGGCGTCTCGCCGCAGCGTGGCGCCAGTCACGTGGCTCTCTTTTTATTCGTAGTCTGCCGCTCCACCTTTTCCATTTCGGAGGCCGCTTCTCGTGGCGATCTGCCAGGCTTTGTCAGTATATAGGAGGCTATGATACAATGTACCATCGAGTTACTGGGGCAGTGTCACTGCCCCAGTAACTGCCTCCTGCCAACTGCCATATGTCTACTGGGATGTGGGACGCGTTTTGAACATGAGCAGTAACTCTATTCTGCAAAAGTTGCCGCGCATGCGTCCACAGCTGAATGACTCAGCATTTTTCGCCCGGGTGATGTTGGCGCTAGAAATTTGTAAAGCTGCAAGATTTTTTCGTGAGGTCTAGAGCGGATGATAGCATGCGCTTGCGGAAATTTCTGTGCGTAATTTTGTGTTGGTGCCCTGCAGGATGACCTTGAACATCCATTCTACGTGGTCGACATCGATGACCTGTTCTACAGGATGGACCTCTGGCGCAAGTCCATCCCACGGGCGGCACCCTACTACGGTGCGTGACCGGGAAACTTTCACTTCCGAAAACACGATATGGCTGCGGTTAAATGATCGATTGATTCAAGATTGCCGATAAAAATCGTCTCAATACAATAGCCACCTCCTGGAATAGACACCGACTTAGCTTTATGAGGACTATATGAGATTAAGCCCCGAAGAAGCTGTTTCTCCGCGAAACGTCGCCGGCTCGTCTGACAGACATATTATTTACGTTTTTTTTTTTTTTTTTTTTTTTTTTTTTTCTCAGCGAGCATCTGGTTCCTTCTCGCGTTCGAGCTAATGCAAACCCCATGCAGTGAGTCTCTTGAAGTTGGACGAAAGCCGCATGAATTACACGATAGATTTTTAATAAGCGTAATAGTGAATGTCAAAGATGAAATATGTTATACATCTTTATAGAATACACATATTCAATTCACAATGATTGCCAGAAATGATTTCGGTATCCTTCTTCCTGAGGTATATCGTGGGTCATCCAATCTATTTCAACTGCTTGCCATTCACGTTGCCCTTTTGTTTGCATTCTAACTGACTATACGGCAGGCAAGTTCGTCCGCTCCTTTCGCACCTCGTGCACTCGCCATGTGCGCCCACGTGCTTTCGTTTCCCCCGATCTTAACCAATGACGACGCTCGATAGGCTACTTCGTCATCAAGCGTTCTAAATTTTGCCCTTTGATTGGTGTGCCCCTTTTTGCGTGCCGATGCTTCAAAGACCCATTCTGCAACACTTGTTCCCTGTGTAGTCTCCGAGAAAGTGAGAACGGCAGAGAGTTTGTTCTTCAGTTGTCCAGTCTGTACATGCGTTGCCAAAGCACCGCGGAGGGCAACGAACGCGTCTGGACGCCGTGCATTCGAAAGACGTTCCTTGCCATTCTCATCCTTGTCGCTGGCTGATACGGTTGGTATGCTGCATGCAGTAAGAAGTAAATGACGATCGTCTGTGTCCTCTTCAGCTGTCAAGTGCAACGACAATCCCGTAGTCCTCGAGGTCTTGGCTGGCTCCGGCTTGGGCTTCGACTGCGCCAGCATCAACGAGATCGAGACCATGATCGCCCTCGGTGTGGATCCCTCGAGGATCATCTACGCGCACCCACAGAAACACGTCAGCTTCATCCGCAGGGCCCGAGATCTGGGCGTCGATCTCGTGACCTTCGACAGCTCCGAGGAACTCTACAAGGTAATTTGTCCCCTTCCCCCCTCCCCCTCCCCTTTTTTTTTTTTTTTGGAGAGACGCTGTGAGAGATGGCTTAGTAGGTACATCGTTTCTTTTGGCAAAAAGGCCACAAGACAAGGACATAAAATAGCATGTGATGTGTCTCTTACTTTATGTCCTTGTCTTTGTCGTTGTCAAAAAAAGGAAAAAAAAGTACCGTTTAAGAGGGGAGTGCCTGCCGAAACCGCTTAGGTTTGATTATCCAATTAAAGTTGCACAACAAATTAATTGTGAATTCGCAGATCAAAGAACATTACCCAACCTGCCGACTCGTACTTCGACTAAGGGTAGACAACGACAAGGCCTGGTTCGCCATGGGCGACAAGTTCGGCTGCACCGACAAGGAGGCCGTACAACTGCTTCGCCTGGCTAAGGACCTGCAATTGGCCGTTGTCGGCATCTGGTGAGCGCAGGCGGGGATCTGGTGGTCGAGCTTCCTTTCTAAAGTCATTATTTCGGTGTTGAGAAAGAACGTATCCAGTTAACTGTCGGCGCATAGCTCATTCACTGTCTCGGAAACTTTTCGGTCCAAAAGCCACTGCAAAAAATCGCGCAAAAAAAGAAAAAAAAAAAAAAGGATTTCAGATTTAGAAAGTGAGGTTCGTGTTGGGGAAGGAAGTGTCAGCCGAAATAATAAAGCAGTATTAAAACGACCTATTTAGGAAAGGGCCGTCGAAGTATGGTGGCATCTTAATCCGGTCTTGCTAGTTGGAAAAAAAGTGTGTGCCTGCCTCCTGCACCCTAGTGTTTCATTATTATTTTTTATACTATCTTTTTTTTATAAATTAGAAAGTAAAAAAATAAATATATACATTGCGGCAACGTCTCGCGATTTTTTTTAGCAGTAAAAGTTGAAGTACCTCTACTTTGCATATTGCGACTCAAAAATCTATCGGACATCGACTGCCGAATTTTGATTGATGAAGTCGAGCTCAACTTGTAGAGACTGTAGCCGACGACCGCCTAGAGCCGAGGTAACACTGCTATTATACATCATTCAATATACACCCTGCTCGCTGCAGACACGTTGACAAAATTATGTGCGGATAACGCGTCAAGCATCTTCGGAGTATGTTTGCTTCACACTTGCTTCAAACATGTTTGCAGACAGCTTTTTTGTATTATGTACTAGCAGTATGATCGTAGCTTGTACGAGTGGCACGTCTATATCCACGAGGTCCCGTGTTCTAATAGCATACCACGCGCTTACGTCGCCTCTTTTCTTGGGGACGCTGCAGCTTCCACGTGGGCAGCAGCAACCAGGACCCGACCGCGTTTGCTGGCGCCATCGCGGGAGCGAGGAGGGCCTTCGACGCGGCACGGGCCATGGGCTTCGACGTGACTCTCCTGGACATCGGAGGCGGGTACCCCGGCGAGAAGGAATCCGAACCCATCTTTCTCAAGGTCAGGGAGGCTACCAACTTCTAGCCGCCTAGAATGCGCGAGCGTTTTTGAAGGACACGGACAAGCGCGCATTGTTTCGATATCTGTATAAGTCGAGACCGGTTATAACGAAGTCAACGGGAATCGTGATCACTTCACTGTAGCCGCTATTTTGTTATAACCGAGTTCGTAATAACCGGTCTCCACGCCGTCGTCACTAAAAGAGATACCACGAACAAGCACACGTGGCGCTGCAAGCGTGCTCACGCAGTGGAAAGGAGATTGCCTGGCGGGTGGCATCGTTTGTAGCATGGAAGGGGGGGGGGGGGGGTGCAGTTAGAGGTCGGCAGAAAACAGCCGTTTTCAAAGCTCGTGCTCGAAAGACCGCACATATATACTTTAACGTCATCTACGACTTTCGAGATGCTAAACAACTAGCACAGATCATATATGGTAGTATCAATACAATAAAAAAAAAATCTGGAAACTATGGCAGCCTGTCGAAGCACCCATATATTCGCAACAATGCGGCCCCGCGTGCGACGATTTCACCGTTTCGACCGCGGATTATTATTATTTTTTTTTTTTTTTGCGATGCCGACTGCAGTACCTTGCTTGCGTCAGTATAGAGGCATAATGCTCTCACTTTAGAACTTTTGATTTTGCTACACGTAACGTGCGAGACAGGGTACGTGCATCAGCGCCACCTATAGACGAACACGCGGCTCTGCCGTCATGCCGCTACGGTGCTGCGGTCGGCACAGCAGATGCGCAGACGTTACACTTGACGCGAATCTGGTTACTGCGCGTGCTTGTTTGTAGCCAGCGCGTTTGTCTATAGACTATGGTCAAATACAAGGTGAAGGTACACCAGAGGCTCCCATTTACACCCTCAGTATATGCCGCCATTGGCACTGTCACGCTGGTCACGAATACTGCGTTTCCTAATTGATCCGAGGGGTGATTCGACATCCGTGGCCGGTGCGTGGTGGTGTTTACTTCGCGCGCACTTCAACGTGTATCTTACCAGGGACACAAGGCCGTAGAGCTGGACGGTCTACGTCACTTACGGTGGGCCAGAGCGACTCATCTGATTGGTCAGGGGTGCTGCGTCAGCCTTCTGCTGAAACTCGTGTTCGAGCAATAAACACGAACCCAACCCCTGTATTCAAAAAACGCGTTTAAAACATTTCGTACGCTGGTTTGCATTTTGCTACGATATATCTTGGCGAAGACTAAAGAGAGTGCGACTTCCCATTGTGTTTGCACGCAGACGGCGGACATCATAAACGAAGGATTGGAGAAATACTTCCCCGAGAGCTACGGCGTGAACATCATCAGCGAGCCCGGCACCTTCTTCGTGCACTCCGCTTTCACGCTCTTCGCCAAGATCATCGGCAAGCGAATCAACGAAGGACAGAACAGTAAGTGCGCGGTTGCTGTCGATAAATTCTTCTTATAGATAACACCAAGAGAGAGAAAGAGAGGGGGAAAAAACATTTATCAGCCGGATTTTGTGAATGCAGCCATAAATTCTTATAAAATGTAGAAAATGCGTCGCCTAGCATGCCCCGTTTCTCTTTTTCTTTCTTGGTGTACGTGCCAAGAGGATTACTTACTGTACCTTCTTTAAACTGTCAATAATTGGTCTGTGAAGATCAATTAAAAAATTACATTTCCCACCAACACACTCGTGGACACCTCAAGATACTTAAGAAAAATTAGAACTAATCTTGACGTTCATTTTATTGTCGATATTGTACGTGTCATTGGCCGATGGCCGCAAAAACTTAGTTGTTATATCTACGTTTTCGGGTGGCTGTATCTTGTCTGCTTACCTTCCCCGTGTCACGCTTGCCTTAGGCAATATCTTTTACAACAGCACGAAAAGAGGTGAATCGGTAGTGGGAATTATAAATGAATATAATAGATAATCTGTATTTTTAGTTGAGCAGCGCTCTATCGAATCTATATTGTTAAAAGGCTATGCTCCTCCCGATGATAGCTGTGGGGCACTTGTGTAGTGCAACATACGAAACATAACGATTCTTTGTTCCCAATTGCAGATACCAAACCCCGACAAATGATGTACTACATTAACGAGTCGGTCTACAAATCCTTCGTGGTGTCCCTCTTCAACGACGACCCTGTCGAGCCTCTGCCTCTGGTGGTAAGTCATGGTCCCAGACCTTGGCAGAAAGCCAGATTGCGGAAGCTTTCTAGTAACACTCTTGATATATGCTCTTTTGAGACTGTAATATGCTGTAATACATCCATAGTGTTTTTGTCGTTGAAAGAACGTGTATATTTAAGTTAAGTTGTCTGGACAGAAATACAAAGATGGCGGACGCTAGCAAGAAAGGCGCGAAAAGAAAACACCTGAGAAGTCTGAGATTGGCAGCCGAAGTTCGTTACATAAACCTATATAGCTTCAAAGTATTTATATACTGCAGATGTTAAGATATTGGACGAAACGTCGGCACCCTGCCTAAGACTGGTTTATTTACTGTTTTTTTTTTTTTAATTTTGTTGCACCGCATTTTCTCTGAGACATTTTGCGCACTATAAAGGGCCATCATAATCTAATCCCGGAGACACGTTGTCTAAGGGTTCAGATCATGATGTTTCCTAGCCAGCTCGCCTGCATACCTTGCCGGCGAGCAACCTTGTTTCCTGCAAAGTGAGCCTGAATTTGTTTTAGTTGCAAAGCCAATTCATTGAGGAGTGTTTGCTTGCATTTTTGTTTTACGTTACGTTATGAATCACGGCAACATCCGCGTCGCGTGCAAAGCTGCTTCTTAAAATGGTTACCATGCTTCACAGGACGTACAGATGTCTTGGTGACTTTTGTAGTAAGCGGACGTAAGCTTCCATAACGTAACGTAATATAAGAAAACGGGGCTATGTGAACCAGCCTTAATATGCTGGAACGTATTAATCAAAGCATTGAATCTCACGAGTTGTGTGCATCAAAGCCAAAAATACAGCCGGCTGAGTGTGGTCACTATAGCACCAGTAGCACTATAAAACGACTTGCAAGCACTATCGTTCGCGCAAGCCAGAAAACACGTATTTCCAAAACCACCCGCTCTCGACCCGCGCGCATTTCAAGGTTCAATAAACTGCACATGCACGGAACTCTTGAGGCGCAGTTTTGCCTAACCAAAGACTACGCGCACATCCTTGGCGTTTCAGGACTCTGACGGTCCGCTGCACGAAAGCATCGTGTGGGGCATCACGTGCGACGGCCTCGACAAGATCAAGGCATCCTGCAAGCTCCCCGAGCTCTCTGTCGGCCAGTGGCTCATGTTCGAGAACATGGGCGCATACACCATCACACTCAACACGCCCTTCAACGGTTTCCCCAGCGCAGACATCGTCTACAGGTCATCCAAACTCGTCGAGTAAGTGGTACATGTGATGTCAGAAAACTAGGGCCACCGAATAGGGTACGAATTATAGAGCCACTAAATAAGCTACGTTTCAAAGTAAGGACATCTTAAGTCATTTTGGTGCATAAAATCGTGGTTGCCAGTTGTCTGAAGCTTTATCTGAAATTGCTTGAAGCGCTTTTCCGTACCCCCAGAAATGTGAAAACAGTTCGCGACAGGAGAAAAAATATATCACCAGAGCTCCCTGACACTAAAGCTAAGGAAGTCGCATTTATGAATTGTGGCGACCGACAGTTGCGCATGTTCTGCACTAAGCACCAAGATGACGGCGCCAACTTGCAGATCGGGGAACGGAGTGCTGATAAAGTCTAAGCGTAGCTCATTTAGTGGCTCTAGGCTACACTTCCAAGCATACTGCCGCCACTTTGGCCATCTCGATGCTTAATATCTGTCAGGCTTCGCGTCCAGCTGCGCTGACGCCTTCGACACACGAGGACCAACGTCGTGACAACACTCCTCTATTTCCCAACTCAATATGGCCGCCAAGAGCCGCGCTCTTCTCTCTTTCCGCTCTTTCCATCCAGAGAGCGGGCGCCCTCTCGCGCCTCCTCCGGGAAGTCCACAGGGAACCACTTGCGCCCCCTCCGGGCGTCATTCAGAGACTGGGGAGTCCGCACGTGACTCCGGCCGTCGGCGCCGCCACATGTTCCTTACGTATCATTGTTGCCAGTTATCTGAAGAGTCATCTGAAATCGCAGGAAATGGTTTATATCGTAGCTCTGAAATGTTAAAGCAGTCCGCAACAGAGCAAAACGATAGTAAAGAGATTAAGGGAACCGTTTTTGCACATCCGATACAGTATACGATGGGCCTTCCGGTACGAACTGCGCATGCGCGAGTCTTCTGCAGTAGCACATGCGCAGTGCGTACCGGAGGGTCCGTCGCCGTGTGCAATGACGGTTCCCTAAAACTCCCTGATGCCTGAACTCCCCGACACCGCACCCAAAGCTCAGGAAGTCGCATTTTCGAAAAACCAGAACGAAAAATATTAGATCCACATCCAGATCTGAATTTGGGCGTGAACAAATGTCAAGGTTAGCCCGGGCGGAACCTTTTGTGATGTTTTTTTGTTTCGCTTGCAGAGTGGAAGTTTCTTTTGGTCCAATCCTTTCATGCGACAATTGAGTAACTGTCGTCAATTGCGCAACCTCTGCACTGACCAAAACCGGGCCGTACGCACTACGACCACTGGCAGAATTAAAACGGCAGGGAGGTCCCTCACTTGGCCAGCCTCCAGCGTGCACTTTCATACCTTCGACACCAGTTTTCGGTCATTCGTGAGCCTCCAGCGCGCGCGCGCAGCGAAAGCACAGAGGAAGTTAACGGGCGTCTGCTAGAGACTTGCCATCGGAAGGAGGCACCCTGTCGTTTTCATTCTCTCCGTAATTTTTGGCATGTTACCTGCCCGAACGATTGTGAAGATGACCTGCGTAGCCTTCTTCGCCATTTTCTAAATCTTGTGCGTGCGCAGCAAAGACGAGGACGAAGGAAGTACAGGACACAGACGAGGCGCCCTGTTCGCCCTTCGTTCTCGTCTTTGCTGCGTACGCGCCAGGTTCATGAAGTGACCAACCAAGTAGTCCAAACAGCCGCTCTTCTTCTTTGTCATATATACCGCCCAGTTGATAGGTATAGCTGGACAAAATTCGCGGTATAATGGCACGAATTTGGCCATGGGCAAAAGGCGAGTGGTCCGAGATTTGCGCAGACCTCGGAGCACGAGTTCGCGCTGCAGAGCCCGGGAATCCTTGATTGCATCTTCGTCCCTGCCTTCTTTGATCTGAATGAGCTTCGTACCAGCGCATACTGCGTCCGTGTATCGCTACTAAATGATGCACGTTAGATCCCCCAGTTTAGCGCGCCGTATTGCACTGGCTAAACTTTTCGTTTGCAGTGGAGAAAAGAGACGCCGCTTGGGGCAGACAAGCGACCCGCTCTCTAAACTGCTATATACAATACATTAACTGACCAGGGTTGGAAATCGGAATCAAAATAAGTATACACAACATGAATACATGTCGCACGTTTGTCATACGCGTATACACCAACGCGCGACCCTGGCGTCCCGCTGTCTCGGTTGCCTCGTCTGGCATGCTTCCTTCTGACATGTCTTTTGATTAGCGAGTTCCTCCTTGCGTTCCGATGTGGCAAGACGCATCTTGGAACACTTGCTCGCTGAAGAATTACAGGACTCGGCGCTATAGTTTGATGAGACAAAATAAAAATACAGAGGGGCCTGTCTTCTTCCGCCGCTTTAATGTTTCTCGTTGGCACGCAGAGACCACCTCAGGCGGCACAAGCTTATCCAGCACATCATCGACTCCGCCTGACAGCGGCGCTGACGATGGCCTTTCACGGCGCACTCTGGAACAAGGCCTGCATTGCGAGTCGACATGCAATGCGAAGACGACCACATCCTCGTTCGAAACCTTTATTTAAGCTCTCTGCGTCTAGGAGAGAGAGAGGGCCATGGCACTGACAACCGTCTGGACGACACTGTCACTTTTGGGCACCGATGGTTCCCGGTATTGATCGATAGCTGAGGTTATAGCACTCTTTCTGGTATGAGGGAAAGGGATTCGGCATGTAGCTGGTCGTTGGTCTGGTCGAGTTGGGAGGAACCCGCCGAAATACGGCCCTCACGGATGCGTTCGAGATCCTTGTCAGACCGACGTACGCTGATCCCGGGGTGATTGGTTTGCTTGTTTGGTGAAATAAATGTATCGGATGGAAGAATGAAACTACAAATTTGTCTAATGTGCTTCTTATTTGTACATTTTTCCAGAGGACCATCGTACTACGTTATAAGTTATAACTTATACGTTGCTTGCACTAAAGTCGTCAGCTGCCATTATGATTGCCTTGTTGCTGAGCACGTACCTTTGGGAGCCATTTTGAAGAACAGCGCAAATAACACACGGACAAGAAGGAGAGAACAAACAGGACATACCATTCTGAAAAATGGTATGGATCCATTATTTCAAATTGGATTCATACCAACTCGCCCAACTTTCCATTCTAGTAACCTTTAGGAGCGTCGAATTTTCACCACCGCACTTGTTTTTCTCAGCAAGAACGGGTAGGAATGACCACCAAGTTGTCCAAAAAACGTATGGTGATGATGATGATGATGACCATGATGATGATGGTGCAATGACGTCACGCTCATGCCAGCTTCAAATAAAAAGAGTATGCCAATGTATACATATTTGTGGTTATGGTGTTGAAAGAAACACACAACTAGGCAGGTAAGAAAATAATGTGTCGATTCGTACTCGCACCCGGAACGACCACACAGTCCACTCTTTTATAGTGCTTAAGTACAGTCAAGCTAATTACGAAAGCCACGCATTAATAAGCGTATTTTCGATCAATCGATGCCTACAAGCGCTAGGAAATACGAATAAAATTGTGCTGTGAGAGCGCCCAATTGACCGATCGCACCAGTCAGTTGGACTATAGATATAAGGGTGATTTCATCTCAACCGAGGCACGGATTTAGGTTCAAATTTTTAATTTTGATGGAAAAAGAAATATTGTAAACAACTTAATTTTCGCGAGGATTTAATTTTCGCGAATTTTGTGAATCGCCTACAATTCGCGAAAAATAGATCCCGCGAAAAATTCCGGTAAAATGTAAACACGACGAAAATAATCCCTGGAGAAGGGGAACAAGGACAAATACAAATCTCCAAACACAGCTAGATGACTGGTCCGCGACCGAAAAAATCTGCCTGGTCCGGGTATCGAACCCGGGACCTCTCCATTTCCAGTGGATTGCTCTACCAACTGAGCTAACCAGGGATTAGACGTCAGTAGAGCAAATAGGTTTTACCAACTGCCACCAGTCTAACACCAACAAATGTGAAAGGCTTGCATTTTAAGTAGGGTTGTGCAAATATTCGGAATTTCGAATAATACACTATTCAATATTCGCTTCGAGAAGAACTGCACTATTCGCGTTTTTCGAAGTGTCTACCCGCGCTTCTTACCGAACACTGGTGCACTATGGAGAAGCGATACCCGCGGAAGCGAGCTCCGCGGGTGCTGCTTTTCTGCATTACACTAGTGCTTGGCAAGAAGCGCACTCAACGGCGTAACCCGCTGCGATAAGCACTTGGAAAAGTATGAATATCGCAATTGCGTGCTTGGAAGAAAAACATACATTCAAAGCGAGATGGTGCCCGCGTGCCAGCCGCATTTGAAAATAAATAGAAACTTTGTGAATGTGTACATCTACATTGTAGTAAATGTTTCAAAATTATTCTGACTGTTATGCAAGAGCACATGTTAGGCAGAGATGCCTTTACAACCTGCGTTCATCATTAGCAATTCTTTCTTTTTTTAGCTCGAGATTAAAGAAAGAATATGTTATTTAGCAAGATTTGTAAATTCACTCAATTGGGAATACTTGGCCACTTCTATAGACTATTCCATTTAGGGCTCTCTGGGCGGCACCATTTTGTTCGACCGCAGCGCCCTCTCCACACATCCGGGAAGTTCAGCGGGTTCGGCCGTTCGGCGGGGTAAAACGAGAGAGAGGGCACGCGCCCGACTCCGCTAGCAGACGACAAACTGGGAGGTGTCCATTCTCCATCTTTGGGCTGTACCGGCGGGCTCTACCGAACATCGAACTCTCGCTCGTGGCTGCCGTTTTGAAGTGGTTCGCGTTCTTAGAATAGTTATGGCTACTCCAAAATCAGCCTGTAGCTCTCTGTCGTTCTATTTTGCTAAATGATCAACTAGCATATCTTTTTTCCATTACTTAAATAGCAGTTGAGTCAGCCGGCAGTACTACCCTCAACTACTGCTTGTATTGCGGCAGGAGAACACGTTTTATTTACTATTTCAGACTTCCACTCATGGTCGCTAAAGGCCTACACCAGTGCGAACTTTTGTATAGTAAAAAGGGTACAGCAACCGGATTTTCTTTTCGCCAAAGACACCGGCCAATCTGACACAGTTTCCCCTATTTTTGTTTTTTATTTGCACGCAGGTAACAGCGCGATTGGACCCGGGGAGTCTTTTTATCTAGCATAATATTACACGACAACTGGCAAACCAAAATCTGCGCATCTGCGCTTGAAAGTTCCCAAATGACGCGATTTTAAACAGAGTTCGCACGCTAGCCGGACGCTAGCTACAGCCCACTCGGCGGAGCGGACGACATGCGGGTTAAGAGAAGGAGTGCATTTTTTTATATTTTACCCTCTCTGCTATGACCCTAATGGAACTGTCTATATGATTCGTTTTATGTCAAATCCGTCGTTTACTTGCCATCACGGACATTAGACCTTCTGAGGTTACAGTTTATAAATGGAGATAGATTAAACTTAGCTTATAAATGAACAAGTGGAGCAACCTTCACGAGTTTAGCTGGGTTTTCGTCTAAGCACGATGCAATTGTAGTGAAAGCCGTGGAAAAACTATTCGATATTTGAATCGAAAATATTCGGCCCAAACCACTATTCGCTTCGAATTCGCTTCGAACTCAAAATCCACTATTTGCATAGTTACTAATTTTAAGGTTATGATTTTAATGCAGTTCAATGCAAAGGTGCAAGCGAGCTGGACAAGCGAGCTGGACGAGCGAGCTTAGCTCGCTTGCACCTTTGCATTTAATTGCATTATAAAAATGTAAACACATTGGAATCTATATTGAGATCCCACCGCGTCGCGAAAATTAGAACCCGCGAATTATTCAAGAACTTCAACTTTGACCTAAATCGCGAAATATTGAGCCTGCGGAAAATAAGTCGTTTACAGTATATGTTTTGGGGCAATTCCTATAATAAAATAAGACGCAAACGGCAATTTCGCCGGATTTTTTGTTCTCAAGCTATGGACCGTTGAAGCGGCCAAGGTGGAAACTGACGTTTTCCCAGCTTATCGGAGGTGCCATTATTTTACTCCATCCCTTTTTCCTACTTTCTACGCTACATCAATATAACTTTTTGGGAACACTCTAGACATAGGCTTTTTCATGATAATTAAGCGTTTTTAAGCGTAATTAAGGTTATAACATTCTTAATGGTTGTTTTTATTTGTCAAACCGATATTTGATGAAGTTCAGCAAGCTGTGCTGTGTGACCTAATCAACATATTTTTGTGATCGTTATATCACCCTATAGCTCCATTTAAGTTCTTTCTTTTTAGTATAGTAGATGTGCCTGAAAAACGAAAATTTCAAAAAAACAAACAAAAAAAAAAACTGGCAAGTTTAGAGTCGATTTTCTTAAAAAACACTTTTTATTGCTTTTATTTTTTATTCACAGTTAGTTAATATAGTAGTCTATCAGAAACTACCAACAGAAATTGTAATATATTGTTTGTATGGCCGCTATTAAGACTCGAATCTCGTGGTATGAGCGTTTTGAACGGGACTTCGCACAGGCGCTCTACTGAACATAATTTTGGCCTATGTAAGGTTTTCTATTTATCGTTAGCAGTTACCTCAATATCCAACCATAAACATTAAATAAATTTGGAGTAGTTTACTTTAAAAAATTTACTTCGAAGTCCGTATCCACAAGTGCGGGCACCCAGCGCTTACTTCCTCCCAATACGGGTTAGAGAATTCCTCTGGGGCTTTGAGTTTGAAATACCGAACTTGACTTGCAATTGTCATATTTTCTTATGCCAAACAGATATGCACAGCATATACATATGTATGATGTAGTATCTGACGCTTAGGAAGTACGGTTTATTTTGTACGCGTACGGGCTCTTTCGTAAATAACAAGCATTTCGTAACGTGTAAGGCTTCAAACGTGTTAGTCATATGTTTAGGTTTCGTTTCTATTTTCAGTGAATCATGTCTGGTTAGTTAGACTTTTTCCTCTTGACTTGATTTTGTCCGGGAGTCTAGATGTTACGTATCTTCTCCGTCAATAGGGCGAATTCGCTCACACACCTTGCAAATCACGCTAGTGCCAAGTAAGTAAGTATTGTTAGGATGAATATTGTTACTTCACTGGCTTTTACGCTAAGATATTGAGGTAAGTACTAACATTAAATAGAAAATCTTACATAGGCCAACATTCTGCACAGCTGAGCGCCTATGCGAAGTCCCGTTCGAAACTCTCCTCTCACAGCACGAGATTCGAATTTTTGTTTGGAGAAAAATATTTGGAGAAAAATGAGAAAGCGGCGAGGCGTCAAGGGAGCATGGCTTGTGAAGGCTAAGTGGCCGATGTCATGCCCACAAGCAGCAACGTCCAAGATGACGGAATTTACCATTTTTCGCGTTAAACAAATACTTATCCTATCGGCATGGGGTACAAACCGGGGGGGGGGGGGGGGGGGGGGGGGGCAAGGGGGCACCCCAGTTCTCAAAGTGGGGGGGCAAGGCATGCGTTTTGCCCCCCCCGGAACAGCCGCCACTGGGGAGTTAGGAAATGAAACGACCCTTTGCCCCGTAGACCCTTGCTATAGCCTCCCTAAACAGCCCCTCCCCCCCCCCCCCCCCCCCCCATCCTTCCCCCTCCCTGTTCGCGTCGCTTCGCAACGACGTTGCGCCTGTATCACTGGCGCAACGACGCCAGTGATAGTTTCGGCGCAAATTTACCTCATTCATAAGTTCACTAATAATTAATTTAATTCATCGTTTAACAATTAATTCAATAACTAATAATTTACTACTAATAATTAATCTGCAGATGAAAGACATTTCTGTTTGTATAGGTGGCGCAAGCTACCATCCATCACAAATAGTAAGTTCGGGCATACATCCACATGACCGATACAGCTTCTATTTTGCGTGGGTTGCGTCTCTGCGTTGCGTGTGGGTGTTGACGTTTCGCAACATTTTATGAATCGGCATTGGCGTTTATTTATTTATTTTCTCTGAAGTCGGTGTTGCAGCTGGGGACGTAGTATCGTGTGTCCATCGGACGGTGCTCGCAGCCGGCGACGCCGTTCTCTGCACGGTGTGGCTTTCCTGGTTTTCCCGTTTCCTAACCGGAAGCTTCTCGACGAAGACGCGATGCCGTGAAAGCAGGGGACGATGGGTCTGGCCAAGCTTTACCGCGCGGTTTCCCGGCTTAGCCAGCCGTTCAAGTTCCTGGCACACCTCTCGCTGTGTGGCTACGTCAGCGGACTGCTTTGCCTTCTCTCCGGAAGCCTCCTGCTCGCTTTTTTCGGCTCCAACATCAGAGAGGAAAAGGCTGTCAAACGGTAAGCCAGGCGGCATTCGGCCCGACACTGGGCGACCGTGTCAACGGGTGCCGCCCTTTGGCTTGTAAAGGCTGCTTCGAACGTTTAATAGCCTCCTATGACATTGTCAGAGTTATTTGAAAGAACGGCAAGTAAAATATACGCAGATTTGAGACGTTCTGAAAATACCCGATAGATGGCACTCGAACTCATACGGGAATAGAGTGCCTTCATACACTCGCGCTTTTGCTTGAGTGGTGACATCTCAGCCATTTTCACGCCCAATCGTTTTTTTATGCATTTTGAAGTGCGCGCAATACGGTGTTACTCAGCTCGAGCGCGCAGCTTTGGGTAATGCATAGGCGCCATTTTATCGCCCAAGTCACGCACCGAGTGCGCGAGAGTGTCACGCGCTGGCACATTCATTGCAACAATGGATGTCTTCACCCTGAGACAGACAGACATGTAGGCACCCTATACGGGAACGTGTGAACACCGAAGGCAGCACTTGCAACAGGTGCGGCGTTTTCCAATGTTGTTCAGCAGCTCGTCTGCGGTGAGCAGCGGGCCACGTCCGTCTCATGTTTAGGAGCAGTGTTGGCCAAGTGTTTGTCCCTTGAGAGCTCGCATCTGCGGCCAACTTCACCCTTAGGCACGAGAAAAAAAACACATTGGGTAGAGATTGAAGAAGATGGGTGAGTTCTTGGACGGAAGACACATGAAGCGACAATGCAGAGTACTTGCCCCAAACTATAGAGTTCGGAAGTTGGAACTGATTGCTTTGTGGCTTGATGTTACGGATGCCGTGTCCTGTTCTCCACTTGTTCATGCGTTTTGAGCGTTTGCAGTGTCGAACTTGCAAACGGGTCACGTCGAGTTTGTTCCTTGTGTTCCAAAGAGCACAAGAAAACCGACACACTCAATGCAGAGTTTTAGCAGATCGTTTTTTTCGCCTCTATAACGACACCCGATAGCGATACGATCCATGTCCAAGGCCGCTGGAGGGGAGAGGAGGTATCATTATCGAGGCGAAAAAAAATGATCTGCTAAAACTCTGTATTGTCCGAGTTTGTTACTGGTTTGGTGCTGGCCACCCAGAGGTCTCGGGGCATTGTTCGCCGGTTGACATCGCTTAAATGTTCACAGTTCTTCAACAAGTTGTCCTAGCCAACCAACATCATTTGCATGCTGCAGCAACTTGACGTACAAGGTGTCCTCCAAAATATTTATACGGATTTTTTTGCCGCAAAAATGAACTATGCATCGCCAAACGCTCGTTCTCAGCCTAAAGGTAGTGGTAGAGGTTCGAACCAGATGCCGAAGTTTCAGCACGAACCGTTTGTTTTCGGTTTCTGGCGCCACAGAGCTCCATGTATTTGAAAGCTTCGTCGGCTACCATTTTCCCATTGAAATTTTCAGAAAATCGCTTATAACTTTTGAATGAGATATCGGATTGTGCTGAGCCTTTGGCATCTGCACGGGCGCCTAGAGCTACCTTCGGGCGGAGAATGAGCTTTCGGCAATACATAGTTTATATTTGCAATAAAAAGAAAAAAATTCTTTTTTGTGGTTGGCATTTAGGTTTAGGTGAAAGTGAGAGAAAAATAGATGTTGGTAAGGTTGAGATCATCAAGCAGGGGTCATCTGACTGGTTGCATAAGTCGAGGGACAGATAAGTTTTCTTATTAATTTACTGTAAATTCGTAGGATGCAAGGTGCAGGCACCCAGTTGCAAAAAGTTGCTTCCATCACTTGTATAGAAATGTTTAGGAGCATTACTATTACAAGCTAGCTTAACCTTGAAGGGGCACTCAAGTGGATTTCGAGATTGTCTATTTATTGTCGTAACTCAGTCTATGGGCTCTGAGCATCTTAAAAAACCTGAACTCACATTCAAGAGCGACCGATTTCCCTATTAAAAGTCCAATCAAAGATTGTGCTTCGCTCCCCTTTCTGCATTATGGTGCAGAACACCAGGGGGCTCCACGGGAAGGGAATGCTGCAGGGGAGGGCATGTGACGGCTTCCCGGTGGACTGATTTTTCGAAGGCGCTCGTATTCGAAAATTTAGTCTGCCGGGAAGCCGTCACCCGTGATTGGCATAGGTCGGCATTTTAGGACCCACTCACTCACCATCACATCACCGAAATTGGCAGCCCATCAAAGTCATTCGCAATCACATCAGAAAGTACACTACCATTCAAAAGTCACAGCCCTTCACATCACAGAGTTCAACTGTGCGAAAGACTCATAGCCAATCACATCACGCACCCTCAAACTCGCCCCCATCATGGTTACTCACAATCACGAGGAGGTCCCACTCACAGCCAGTCACTCACATCACGGCCCCTCAGAGTCGCCCCCTTCACGGCTACTCACACTCATGAAGAGGAGGCCCCACTCACGGCCAGCCACTCACATCACGGCCCCTCAGAGTCGCCCCGATCACGGCTACTCACACTCATGAAGAGGAGGTCCCATTCATGACCCCATCACGGCTACCCACACTCATGAGGAGACCACTCTCACGGCCAGCCACTCACATCACGGCCCCTCGGAGTCGCCGCCTTCACGGCTACTCACACTCATGAAGAGGAAGCCCCACTCACGACCCCATCATGGCTACTCACACTCATGAGGAGCTCACACTCACGGCCAGCCACTCACAATCACGGTCTCGCATCCCCTCATCAAGGGGCCTCCTCGCTACGAGCCGAGCGGGCCGGCGCCTGCGGCTCTAATGTTTGTTTTGGTTTGTTCCCAGTATTTCTTTTTAGTTTTTTAACATTGAGCAAGAGGCATCCACGCCACGCCGGCACCACAGCACTACTAAAAAAAAAAAAATATATATATATATACAAATAAGCCAACCCCCGTAAGTTTTTTTCTTTTCCCCTTTTATTTGCACCGAGCGCGAAACCCGCTTTCCCAAGGTCAACCAGATTCGGGACGACAACTTCCTGTTGTCCCCGGCCCCCCATCCCACGGGGAAAACCGCTCCGGGACAAGCAGGGAGCGTGTGCTGCAGCCAGCATGGTTGCAAGCGCTGCGGACTCGAAAGTCTAGACCCGAAACTCTTTTCCGCCGTCTTGTTTCCGCCCATCGAACGTCGTTTCTGGAGTGCAGACCGCGAACTATACGCGTTGAAATTTTACACGGTGCGGACTATCCGCAGGCTTGTTTAGTATCACGAAACGAATTTTGTGAATGAAGGAGTATGTTAATTTATATATACATATATGTAAATTTAAAATACGTTTCGAAGTGCGAATTCATTACTTTATATATATATATATATATATATATATATATATATATATATATATATATATATATATATATATATATATACGGCAAATCCGCCCCCCCCCCCCCTCCATCCCCCCCCCCCCCCTCAATCTTCTTTTTGATGTTTTGTTGAACGCTCATTCTCCGCCAAGATGCAGCGCTAGAGGTCCGAACCAAGGTAACCAACCGTTATCTTCTTCAAACGTTATTTTTTCTAAAGTGGTCTTGGGAAACTGGGGCCCATTTTTGCCCGTTTTCGCTAACTAGCGGCATAGAGCTCCATGTATCCGAGCCATATGCTGAGAAAGTTCGGCAGATGGGTGGAGCTTGTGATCCGCTAAATATAGCTAAAATAAGCCGACCTCGAGATAACACAATATGGAGATTCGTTTTCGCTTCGCCACTTCGCTCTGATTGAGCCCACTGAAATTTGAGGTTACAAGGAGCGTTATGGAAACATTTCTCGTTCATCGGTATTCTATTACGCCTGTAATTCATCACTGTATTAAAAAAAAAACGAACGCTTTTTATCAATCTCTAAAAAACAAGGCTTACAAAAAAGCTTTTTTTTTTTTCGTTTGTTTGTTTTAAAAAAAAGCATGGTTTCTCAATCAAAAAGGGTCAGGCAATTTAGAGCACGTGTTCGCAGTCTCAGCATGGCAAACGCTTTCAGCGGTGTTGAATTGTAGCAGCAGTGCGAACATAGAAAATTAATTTTATAGAAAAAAAGAAGGAATGGAAGACGGTACTATTTTTGGAAATCGTTGCAGATAGGGAAGTCTGAGCAATTGATTGTGTTGAAAGACATGTCACAACGGACGTGGAGTGGCCAATTTAGAGTGGACCATGTTTCAACTGAAAGTACAAGTAATGTTTAACGCAATATTTTATAAATGAGAAAACACGATTAAAAAAGAGAATGACGTCAGCCCCGTAGCTTCCGCAAGCAATTATCTTGTGGAGGAGAGTCCTCTCCTGATATTTTTAATCTCTTCACTTGCGGTGACAGAGCTAGGAGTAGCGGGAATTCGAAATGCTCTGGGAAAGCCGCACAAGCAACACACCGTAAAAACAATTTTTACGGTGTGTTGCGGCTTTGGACTAGTAGGGCCACTGACTCGTGAGGAACGTTACTAAAGCAAGCTCAGTTTCGCAGCTCCCTATTCTCGCCTGCAAAGGCGAGTGGCCCAGGTGGCGGTAACGAAAACTAGCGGCGCTGCAGTCGGATCTTGCTTCCCGGTCCCGCGCGTCGTCTACTACCACCGCGTTGAGAGCTTCTTTTTCTTTTTCTTTTCTTCCTTTTATTTTTTACTTGCATGTGTATATTAGCAAAAGAAAGAAAAAAAAAAGGTAATGAAGATGAAGTGTAACACACCACAGAGATCAGAGTCGGCGCGTTGTGAGTGTTCTTTGAGTGTTTGAAATTTATTTTTGTGCGCGTCTGTTTCCTTGCGCTGTGAAATATTAGTATGAATTGCCAACTCGCTCAAACTCGAGTATTGCTATTGAAGCTTCGCGGGCTAGACGATCCGGAAGCAAGACTCGACTCGCTGCGAGTTCTCGTGACCGCCACTGAGCCCACGTCACAGGCGGAGCTGTGAAACTGAGCTTGCTCCAGTAACGTTGCTCGTGAGGGCAGTGATGGGAATAATTTCTCAAAAAACATCCACGTGATACTGATGTTTGTGACTCGAAATTGGAAATGTATGGGATCTGCTTAAGCATTTGCAGAATTTTTTTTTTTAATTTTTAGTTTTCGTTTGTGTAGTATATTTTTCTTATTTTTCTTTCGTCTGTTATTTATTTTTATATATGTACTCCTTATTATGCTTTGTTCTTTAAAAAAAAAATTCTAAAATTGCATTCTATCTCAAAACAAAAAACAAATTAGTTTTGTTTATACAGCAGGAGTTTAGTCTGCCAGAACATGGCGACATTGTTACCCACTGTAGATGAGCAATTTAGCCAGTGCAGTACAACCGCTAGCCTGGGGTCTTTAACGTGCACCACGCAGTAGTGATGCACGACCGCACGCCGGTACGGTGCAGCGCGAGCTTTCGCTCCACGCGCGTCGAGCAGGGTGTGCGCTTTAGCCCACTCGGCCACCGATCCCCCCATTCTATCTCGCAATCATGGAATGCTCGAAGGAACTATGAAGAAGAGGAGGTGGAGGAAGAAGAAGTATTAAATAGTTGATGGTCAGCTCTGTGTATGTCCTCCCCTGTCTGCGTGTAAGTGTTTAATGTTCAAGCTGTTTCCTCATAGACTGATTTGTACTCACCTCAGACGTGGACCACTTATTTTTTTCTTCGCCGTGCCAAGAAATGATTCTTCCCTTCTGATTATTCAATATCAGTCACACATAAGCGTTTAAATTAAAACTACCGAATGACGGAAACTCCAAATCAAAATAAATGCGGTTTTTCAGAATAATATTTGGCGGAAAGGGTTCATACAAATTGAGGCAGCAAGAAATTCAGTGATTTAAATAAACTCCTTTTTTCTCCACCCTGCTTGTAAGTGTGCTGGTTAAAGCCCCTTGATAGAGTTCCTCAATGATGCTGTGCTGGCGCAGCGCACAAGCAACATTGAGGCACTTTAACCCTCGATGTGCTTCATATGTCTTATATTCGAAAAAAAAAGAAGTGCCAATGAGCAGGTACACGCTTCGTGGGCTCTTGGAAACAAATGGCGGCGCAGCACCGAATTGTATTGGAATGAGCTATCGATCGAGACACAATGTTTTCGTTCTAGCACGTACTGCCTTTACGTTTCTCGCACGTCTGAAGAACAATGTTTGTCGACTTTTAGGAATCACGAATCGTTATTTATTGAAGGATATAGGCGTATGTGTCGCTGCTTGTACTTCTGGCTTATGTGAGAACTGCATTTGTCCGCGTGTGGTGCCAATGCACAACTCAATCACTCGCCTCAAATAAAAAAAAAAAAAATATGTTTACGAGTTCGACGAAGGGCATCTGTACGCCCCAGCGGAGAGCTGAGGATTAATTTCGACCATCTGGGGATCTTTCGGAATGTCTCCGAATTAAGCCGACATTACGTTGTGCGATTGTGCATGTAATATTTGTACTCGTATGGCATGAAGCCAGTAAAGATAGCTCGTAGTTCAAGTGCCATTCACGATTTATTATTAATATTTTCTTGCCGCACGAGTGACCTTGCAATCGAAAATCTCAAGTATATGTGGAAAGGGAATTAAAACCCAATTAATATGATAAGATTTCGCTTGCGATGTCTCAGCTCTAACGTTAAGCACCGTAGCTTCCACCGCACTTTTATGGCCGCACAAGCGACGACGCAACAACAAAAGCTTACTTAAAATCGTACAACGTGTATCAAACATAAAGGCATGATTGTGCGAAAAAGACATGTGCAAAAAAACAACCCCAAATTGCACGCAAGCCGGAACAGGCGAAAACGGTTTCATGCCACCTTTAAGATACTAAAGTGTTCGATGCTAGCTTATAAAACATATCGTTTTGTTAATAGCTTTTTAGAATGGAGAGAATACAGCTAGGCGAGTTAGTTAGGAAACGATTGTGAACCCATTATCAGGTTCACAAGTATGTCGTTAAAAGAATACAGTATGTAAGATTTCTGTGCGATAAATACCAGCCTGCAGATCGTCTCGTGCAGACGACCAAGCTTCATCCAAAGCAACTAGCTCGCGCTTTTAGCATTCCCGGTTAACAGTAGTCCATGCTAAGGTTAGACGAAGTATAGCAGGAGTTGAGCGCGGACATCGTTTTGTCCGTGGACTCGTGCTCGGAAACGTGATCACCACGTTCCTTGCTTCTAGCTTTACTGCCGACGGAAACCAAACAAAAAATTAGAGTTACGTCCAAAGTCATTTTACCCCAAGGTTTCGAGTTACGTCCGACGGAATTCGAAATCAAAATTAAAGTTAAAGTAAAAATTAAAGTAGACGGAAATAAAAGCTTAAGTTATGTCCTGTGTAACCAACGCAACCTTACTGAATGTTACACTTTACGATCTATACATGATGTAAACGAAAACATATCGTGAATTATTACTACGTTACGTCCGATGCAGCATTCGTTAATCGGTTAAAAGCGCTTGGTCCTATCTCGTCGTCCTCGTGTCCTCGTTTTTTAGGCGCTTCGCAAGTTAAACATCTACCAACTAGCCCACCTATCCATTTACCGTAACTTTAATTTTTATCTCGGGCTCCGTCAGACGTAACTTCACTCTTTATTTTGAGTTCGGTCGGACGTAACTTTAATTTTTATTTCGAGTTCGGTCGGACGTAACTTTAATTTTTATTTCGTGCTCGGTCGGACGTAACTTTAATTTTCATATTGGGTTACGTCGGACGTAACTCGCAGCCTTGGGGCAAACTTACCTCGGACGTAACTTTAACTTTTATTTCGGGTTCCGCAGGACGTAACGCTAGACATTGCGCTAAACGCGACCTTTCTACTGCCACGCCCCCCCCCCCCCCCCCCCCCCCCCCTCCCAGCTTGTGGCAGTGGAAGTAAATATTCTCGCCCGCTATCTTCGGTGACTCCATTTCTATAGGTACACAAGCCCCGCTATCGCCGGTTTTTGCCCAGCCCGATGTGCGTGATACACACAGCACTTCAAACGTTCCAAAGGCTGCGCGAACACAACTCGACATTAAACGTGCTTTCAATCAATCGCCATGAAATTGCTGGCAAACAAACTTCAGCTCCTTGCACCGCGAACGCCACCTCCCCAGCCCACGACTCTCCTCTTTTACGCGCGGAAGGTGCCGTAATCCATGCCGACTACACAAAAACCTCTCTACAGCTTTGCTTCTGCGACGCCCCCTCAAGCTCATCCATCTGCTCAAGCACGGAAACGCAATAAAAACACAACCAAACACAACAGTCGCACATTTACAAAAAACAAAAAAAAAGAACAAGAAAACACTCCACCATCCTCGTGGTCCGCACCACCCTTGCCATCAGTATCCCTCCCCCCCCTCCCCCCCCCCCTCTTTCGCGGCGCCACTCAGCTCTCCAAAGTCAAGCTGCACAACTTTCGCAATAAACGCCAACAGCCAAACTCATTTCAGCATCTGAATGAACTCATGAACTCACTCACAATCACGAACGTTTCAGATTTCACAGGTTCACTCCCCATCAGATCACGAACAAATCACGCTCGCGATGCTACTCACAATCCCATCACAAACTCATCACGCTCACGAAGTCATTCACCACCCCATCATGAACTCATCACGCTCACGAAGTCACTCACCATCTCGTCATGAACTCATCACGCTCATGAAGTCGCTCACGTTCACATCATGAGCTGATCCGAGTTCATGAAGTCACTCACAATCACATCATGAACTCTTCAAACTTCACGAACTCGCTCACAGCCACTCACAATCACGCGGTGAGTGTGAGTGAGCGTGAGTGAGCGAGTTCATGAGTGAGTTTGCCGAGGTATGGTGATTGGCTGTCGCTTGCCCTCCCCTGCACCCCCTGGTGTTCTGCGTCATGGCGCAGAAAGGGGGGCATGGCACAATCTTTGATTGGATTTTTAATAGGGAAATCGGCCACCCTTGAATGTAATTTCGGGTTTTTTAGGATGCTTAGAACCCATAGATTGAGTTACGACGGTAGATGGATGATCTCACAATCCACTTGTGCCCCTTTAATGTTTTGTCTATTGCATAGAGGTCAACTGTGGAAGTTAAAAACACTGACCAGGTGACGTAAGCTGCCACCTGATTGCAGACGTTGAGCTGTATGCATCCATCCATTCATCTCTGTTTTTTGTTTGAGCTTCTGATGAGTGAGATGAGAGGAATTGTTTGTGCAGGATTCCAACATGGATGGGTATCATTGCCACTGGAAGCGGCGTCATGCTTCTCTTCGTGGCCGTCATCCTGACCATCCTGCTCTGCAAGCTCGCTCACCAGCACTCTGCCAGACAGGTGAATAGGAGGAAGTTGCACTACAGCCATGCAGGCTCTTGGTTTGGTTTATCTTCTTGTTCTTGGCTAACCAGAGTTAGAGTCTTATGTTGCTAGCTTTTTTTTCTGTTTCACTTTTGCCACAAACTAATTATAGATGCTTAGTCAGGCAATGTTCCTCCAAAAAAATGAACCATAGTTTTTTTTTTCATTGCAAGAATAAACTGTGTATTGCTGAACGCTCAATCTCTGCCGAAATGTAGCTCTTGCGGTTTGGACCCGATGTCAAAGTTTCAGAACCAACTGTTATCTTCTAAAGTTGAAGGTGATTTTCTAAAACTTTCAATGGGAAAATGGGAGTCGTTCTCGGTGGTTTGTGCCATTCAGCCCTATGCGTTTGTGGGCATTGTTGGCAACAATTTTGCCATTGAAGATTTCCGTAAATTGCTTATAACTTTTGTGTCTTGAAACTTTGGCCTCTCGTTTGAACCACTAGTGCTACATTTGGGTGGAAACTGAGCGTTCAATGATGCACAGTTCATCTTTTCGATTAAAGTAATACCGTACACTTTTTCTGGGGTCACCCTGTAGCACTGCTGTCACAGAGTTAGCTAAGCTTGTACCTGTCTTGACTGAGTGAAAAAAATTGAGATCCCGAGCTGCAGATATTTTTATCAAGAGCATACGTTAGTGTTGACTTTTGCCTGGTGAAATTTGAAAGCACAGCTAGGATAAAACCCTCTGTGTTCAAACATCTTGCTTGCTCCCTTCGAAAACTACAGGCGACTACTTGAGCACCTTTGCTTTGAAATATCGCAAGGGGAATGTGACCACTGAAATGCGCAGTCAACGTACATGTGTGCACGCTTGGTTTAGACAGTTATTCCCGGGTATTATTGAAAAGCGTACGACTGAGAAATGTGTACGACAGTAAGCGTTTACCAGTAAGGGAAAATACGGTGCTATTGTCATTTTATACATTGAGTGCAATTGTGCAAATCAATAAGGCCTCGACACTACGTTTCTTACAGGGCCACCAAAGCTCCCTGATGGAACGCTTTCCCTCGCAGCCGGGTTTGTACCCGGTTCAACCGTCGCCCAATCAGGTGCGTGCCGTCACGCCGGGACAACCAGGAAGCCCCGAAACTGAGAAGTTGACGTAAACTCAACACTGCAACGACCCCTGGATTCGAGTCACCGCAGCCAGCATGCGGGATCTGTTTGCCGTGTACGATGCGGTCGCGACAGCTCCTTGCTTCTGCGTTGACAACACCTGTCGACATAACCTGTCTCGTTGGCAAGTGATGGACTCGACGGCAGTTCCAATCGCGCTTCTCGTGTCATGCAAGAGGTGCAGTTGACATGGTGCATCCCTCTTATCTGCACGTCGGAAATGGAGGCACCTGTTGAAGCAACCAGTTTCTGGTGTTAACAATTCTGGAACCCCCAGGGCGCAAACAACGGATGGAAGTGGCAGCGTTTTGTACCGCTTTGCGAAGGAAAGGGCTCGTTTCTGCCTAAGTGGTAGGTTTGCACATTGGAGCTGCCACTTGACGATTTCGTTGTCTGCAGTCTGACAGCTTCAGAAATGCAAGGCATAGCCTGGTATTGTGTTCACGCTTCTCGCTTCGTGGTTTGTTCTTCCGCGTTCTTGTCGGCTAATGTCACGGCCTCGTCGGCAACGGAGCGACAGTGAGACGCTAGGAACTCGCCGTGCCCTGCATTTTTTAGGCTCTCGGCGGCCGTGGTGGGCGACGCTGGTCTGGCAACCCCTCTCTCTTCTTCACCTTGCATCGAGATTTCTTTTTCTAGCTTTTTTCTTGACGCATTCTTCGGAAGAGTCTAACCTTTGAGCTCAAGACCAGCCGAAAACAAGCTTATTGCTTGGTTTGAAAGTTGAAACATTCCACATATAGGAGACCTCGACTATGCTCCCCAAAAACCACCTGCTCAATGCCTCAGAAATCTGTGTAGGAATCGCGTCCGAGAGTTTTCTGTACCTCCTCCGGAAGTGCTCCGTGACGTTGTACGTCGAATGTTACACGGCTGATTGCATCATGTTTCACATTGTAGGTCGTCTCGACATCACGCAGGTGGCAATGTGAAAATGAGATTAGCAGAATTCTCAGCTTCGATAGACTCTTTTAAGATGAAAATATTGCTGCTTTGCTAACTTGTCGAAACCGTGATAAAAATGTTCTTTTTGGCGGAGTAGCCCTTTTGCGTTTGAGAAGTTTCTATATGTAAGTACAAAACAATCAAAAGTATGCAGATGAATGAAGCGTACTTGATCGAATCAATCAAAGTTTGCGGAGCTTCCGAAAGACGAAACATATGGCGGAGCCGGGATTTGAACCCTGGGCCTCCGAATGTTTGGTGGGTGTGCTAACATAGGAGTGGTTAGCACACCCGAACAGATATTGGGAGGCTCGGTGTTCGAATCTTGGCTCTGCCAAATATTTTGTCTTTTGGCAGCTTTGTAAACTTTTGATTAATTCGATCAAGTACGGTTCATTCATCTGCATATTTTCGATTATTTCCTCTTTGGAGACCACATACAATGATGAAAGTGCCCGTGATGTGTACGAACAATATGCAGAGCTTCATTCTTCTGATTTGAGTTTTCGTCTGTTGTTTAGGCAGGCTTCTGGTCTATGACTTTCATAGTTTTATTCCGAAATAGGCTGTAGAGAATGCGTTTCTTCTCCACTTCTCCTCCGGCTGGCATATCTGCACGTGCTGCATTTGTGTTCAGACTCGGTTGCCATCACATTTCTACTTGCCATCTTGAGTTCTCCCCGACAAGATGACCTCGTCGAATGGAGGTGTTGGAACTGTTTAGCCATCAATTTGTAGTTTAGTGTGCGGTGTTGTTAGTGAAACACAAGATAGCTCGAGCGTGGTGCTTGGGATTCACTCCCTATTTGCTTCAGTCTTAAGACAGGGGTGCAACATACTCTTTCGCAACTTGTCTTGGGAAAACTGTTGGAAAGAAGTCGTCTGCTTCATGTGCAAGGGTTGCGGTGACGTCAGAACGATGCCGAGCTCTCATTGGCTTTGATTGGTAGAATAATGGGTAGGCCTCTATGCTAGATGCCTTGGGGTCTACCCACTATTTTTTTCAATCAGCCAATAAGAGCTCGGCGTTCTGACATCATCGCAACCCCTGTGCAAGAAGTAGACGAACTTACTTTCTGCATTGATATTGGAGAACCCTGTGGTTGGGGCCCTGAATGAAAGACTTGGGGAGCGTGTTTCGTTGGGGGAGGCGGAACCTTCTGTTCTTGTAGATAAGGAAAGATTGAAAGCTCCTTTTGAAATGTTCCTTGTGGAGATGTTCAGCTTTACTCACTTCATGTGCCGATGTAGTGGCGGCACCGAGATAACGCCTACAAATTGCGTCCTCATCATACAAGTAGGTAGGCGTGATACTTTGTTATTATTGCAGAAGGTGCGCTGAAGTCCACTCATCAGACTCACTGTTACTGATAGATCACACCCATCCCCAAAGTATGTGTACAATGCTTTTATTTTCTAGACTGTCGCACGATCTATACAAAGTTGGGCATCCATTTTTGTCCAGTGTACTTTATTACTGTCACTGCACTTTCTAGTCTGTATCCATCTTGTGACGACATCCTCACATTGTATTGTGAGATTGTGATGCTTTTAACTTACCTTTTTCCCTTGTGAAGACGAACAAACAGCCTGTGTGTTGCCAGGGTTGCTCCCACTAACCTGATGCGATTCATTTTGTACATTATAATCTTGTTTGTAAGGAGGGCAGCACAGGAGAAGCCATCTGACACTGAACCTCTTCATTTCAGCGTGCTCAAATCATCTCAAACCTGTATCGTTTTAAGAGAGGGGAATCACACTACTTCTAAGCTGTTTCTTTGGATTAACTTGGAAAATATTTTGCCAGTACCTCAGAGGCTGACAAATGGTGTGTTACTACCATAGGTTTTTCACATTGCGGCATTTATTTTTGTTATATATGGTTTGGCATAATGAGTTTGGGCTTATTTCGCTGAAGGACTAATCGGCATTGTTATTCCGGCATGCATTTAGGTGCAATGCTTAATTTTTGAGAGAAAATACAACTTTCTTCTGCATGTTTATTTATTTCCTTAGCCCTGAGGACTGCGTGGCGAGCCACAATTGTGACAGTATGTTGTGGCAGTTGCATTTGGTTCTAGTAATGCCCTGATCAGACAGAGCCGCAGTTGCAGCCGCTGCTTTTGAAGGTCACGCAGGTTGTGAGTCTAGTAATTCTCGGGGCTTGGGGAACGGCTAAAAACACATGAGAGCGCAGTTGCGTTGACCCAAAATTATGAGCAGCACACCAAAACACACTCTAAAACTCACAGTGCACATCACTTGGGGAACGAGTAGATGGCTTGCTCACACGTTTCAACTCCCATGTTCTGTCTGTTGCTGTAATGTCAATATTGTTTTCCCTTTGGAGTGATTAGGGAATTTTATGTTTGCATGGCTTTTGCTCAGGAATTAAAACCAAATTCAGCTCTTGTATTTCAAATAATTGCTCTGTTGATAAGGTATTAATAAGCAACAGGTGTCACTATACCTTGGAGATATGACACGAGTTAGCGAGGTTCACTTCTCCTTTTTCTCATCTGAACAGTGTCCTCATTTATGGGGAAGCCTCGGAAGCAAACAGTCGTGGAACCTTAGATCGGGAACTAAGATTTCATTGGCGTCACGTGTACCAAACTATTTGTGTGGCTGTCATTTTCTCTTGTTGCATTAATGTTTCTTATACAAGTGTTTGGATATGCTACCAGTGTCACCCGATACATCATTGAAAATGTTGCCCACAATAAGGTCCTGCATATTTTTAAAAGGTTTGCTGTTCTCTGACTTTCGGGAATATGTGGTGGTAAGTTTTTGTGTTCGTTGTAAATAAACTTATCCAATTGATTATACAGTGCATGCTGTTTTATGATTGCTGGATGAGGCAGAAACGCGATCATGTGGACGGCTCTTTTGGGCTTGGTTAAGACATGGTGGGCGTTTGAAGCCACTTCAGGACAAACACTATTTTCAAGTGCCCATAAGGGGATACAATACTGAGATTCTGCAGAATAAACTGGAAATTAAATGCATTTACATATTTCGTGATTTTACAGTGATGTTTGAGCCATAGCGTATGTTCTAAACTGAGATAGTACGCATTCATTCGATGGTAAAACAGCGTGAAAAAGAAATGAAGACAAAAGTAACATGCCATATAATGCCAGTGCAAGTTCGTTTTACTTCTGTCTGTGCGTTTTACTTCTGTCTGCTTCAAGAGCGCTGGCGTTCTAACTTCGAAACACCGTGCAGCTTTTTTCTTTCCTAGTTTGTCATGAAATAAGTTTGTAGGCCGGAATGTACTAAGGTAATTTATTAACACTCCAAAAAAATAATAATTTGCAAATGCTTGCTCCCTAAAAGAAAAAAAATTGTTGGAGTTGTTTTGTTTTTATGTCGCCGGCAGAGCCTGGTCCGGCGGCTTTCGCAGCTTTTGCGCTTCCCGTTGTGAAACCGAAACTATATGCTGCGCATTGGTTGGACATTGAGTACGAGAACAAAAGCGACTATTGAATAATAATTTTAAATAAAGCGATAATGTAATTAATCTACCAATATAATATTAAATTTAAATAGAACAAGAATATCTTGGTAAAAAAAAGTGGCGTAGTCCATACGGTGGTCCATACGGTCCATACAAACTTCTGCTTCTAGATGTCTTAAAAAAATACGGACGACATTACATAATTAAAAAAAAAGTTTTTATTGTGTTTGGAAAATTTCTTCTCTAAAGCGAGCTTGTCGAAAAAATTCCGGTTGGAAAAACACTAAAAACCACGCCCCTTATTTTTCTCCGAAGTCGCATCGCGATCGTGGGCAATTCAAAATGGAAGTTCGCGATAATAATAAATTCAGTTATTTTCGGGTAGCGCCTAGTTTTTATTTCGTAAACGGTAAACAAGCTCGTCAATTCGCTAAGGATGCAACGCATACTCGACGATCTTTCGGAAATTAGCTCGAGAATTGTCTGGTTCAAGTAAGCCCGGGTACTTGCAAGCTGCGGTGAGCCGAACTGCGGGCAGTGGCCACTTTGAAGGTTGTTTTTCGTTCGAGCTCAATTTTGGTTCGATAGTCACTGCTTGTGCCGTGCAGCGATGTTGACGTTTAACTTTACACTACGCTAATCTGGGCCGTTGGACCCTGTCTGCTATGGTGTTGATCTGGTAGTGTCAGCAGTTTCCGCCGCTGTCGCTCCCTGGCAGAACGTATGGGGGAGTGGCGCTGTGCGCGGTGACAACAGGTGTAGTACAAGTTCGGAATTCGATCCTTAAAAGCTAAACAAAAAGTGGCGCGCGATACAAAGAACAAAAACAAACAACATGTATTGCTTGTAATGTTTATTTTGGAAGCAATTTATCCGCCAAGCATTCCCATCCCATTTGCAGAAGTTGACTCTTCTGGAACAGACGGTAGGAAGTTTGTCTTGCCACAAATCATTTTATAACATAATAATTTTTTCGGTAGTTTTCTGTAATAATTACGATTTTGATCACTCCGTTCTTTGCAGGTGCGGGAAAAATTGTCGCATTAAAGAAACATTCCAGTGAACTAGTTGATTGCAACGAGTATATGCAGCGAAAACCAATGTCACCAAATATTCATTTGAATATCTGAGTCACAATAACGGTGCCTTAACAAAAACTTCTATAAACTCCTTCTGAAGGCCTGCCCTTTATAGATGGTACTCACTGGCAACCATAGCTGAGCTCGCTGCTGCTGAGGACGTGTTGATGGCAAGCTTCCACAACGCTTCTTTGGGAGACCATACATAAGAGCTCACTCCGAGCATGCACTGTGAGAAGTCAGCTCAAATACGGCGTCCTGTGAATACCACCAATTGCGGGATATGGGAATCCTGGACATTGGAGGCAAATGCAGAAGACAGTGTTAAATGTATGCTATACTCCGTTGCACTTTTTTTATTGTGCTACGATGGATGCCGTTGGCTACCAGAGTCAATCAGACCCTTCTCGTGGTAAACGCCACCAGGCGGTGCTCCAGTCTGTGACGGCCCAGAGAACTTCCACTTCAAGAAAAGAATTAACAAGGCCCACTTTAACACTGCTGCTTGAACTATCAATTAAACGTTTAACCACCAATTCTCCAAGCTCGAAAGAATGAAGAAGCGGGAGATCTGGTAAAATTTTCTGAATATCGTGAACCAACTTGCCTCCTCCAAGACGTTAAATTGCACAGCCAAAGGCCCTCGTTATATTTCTAACATTGTTGTTAATGTAGCATTTATGATTTCTAGCACTGGTGACATAAGCAAGCTCGACAGGCTTGCGAAGACAGAGCGACCGGAAGTCGCTTGGGATGCAAGCGGCGGTTCATGTTAGTAAACAGAAAAAGGGTCTACAGTGTGGAGCGTGTCTTGACCTCACACCCCCGTTGAATCAGAAGGGCACTTGACACTGTTAAGCTACGAATTGGCTCCTGTGGCTTGTAATGTTGATTGCGGTTCATAATAGACTCGAATACTGCAATGCAATGAACTAAACTTCGTTTCGTCTTACAATGTAGTGTGACGGGTGCCATGAGCTACCAGAGCTGCTCCGTAGCTTGGAGGGACACATCACGCTCCCTTTGTTGCTCCGGCCAACTGGAAGGGCACATAATGTCTTCTGAGCTATGTATTGGCTGCCTCAGTGGTTTGTACCATCTGTCAAGGTCGTTCATAACTAAAGAGTATACACAATTTTCTTTTCAACGTCTCGGTATGGGGTCAACTGGATAATTCCACGAAGGGTCATGCAAGCTCGGACACCACAAACTCGTTTGCATGACTTAAGCAAACAATTTCGTTTCTGTATGCTCGATATTTCACAAATTTCGTGAAGTGTGGGTTTCGGTGATATTTTGTGGCCACAGAATTTTGCTATTGAGAGTGATATGCTATGTATTTGTTACCGTTGGCTGATATATCCACATAACCACTTTTTCATAATATTCCCAAAGTCGCATACTTTGCGGAAATCAGGTCTTCATGAAAATTTAGTTTTTTTACAGTAAATCAATCAAATATTTTCGTTAATGAATCCGTCTGTTCCTCGGCCCCTTTCACTTTTCAGGGAGACGGTACGAGTACTAAAATGAGACCCCTGCCGAACTTTCGGCTGGTCCTGGTTCTGGCCCTGTTGGTCGGCGTCCACTCGGCCGATGGCCAGTTGGATCACTGCCGGTGTTCGGCCAGAGACGAGGCCAGGACGGCACTGCACTGCAGTGGGGACGATGCATTGGCAAAGCTGACTGAATGTGGCAAGATGCTGCTGCCGGAAGACGCTGTGCACTCTGCTATCATCTACAATGCTACTTTTGAGGCAAGACCTTCCTTTCATGCTCTGCCGTGTTTCTCCGTACGTCTTGCAGCAGCCAATTAACTGACATCGTAAGCACGAGGGTCTGACAGATGCATAACCAGCTCTCTAATTTTTCTGTAACCATCGGACAACATTTGAGTTATATTTCCGAAGCCTGTGACAGCTCATTATTTGGTGATCAATGCTGTGATCTTTTTGTGGGGCCTGCGGGTGGAACAATCTCCCTACTAAACTTTCATATTTGAGACTGAAATGCAAATTGCTAACACTTTGCCCAGGTTCTCAGGGATACCCCGTAACCTTTTAGTCTCAATGAGTGCTGGCTGATCAGTTTATGGTTTCTCCCGGTGGCAGGTGCTGCAACTGAGCGACTGGAGCTTTGCGTCTCGTCTGGAGCATCTGGCGGTGCTGGAGTGCCGTTTCAAAAGGCTACAGCTAGAGGGCGCCACGAACCTCACATCACTCTCTTTGGCCTCAAACGAGCTACGCCTGGTAGACTCGGTACGTATCAAGTCCCGTTCCCGTGACGTCTTACCGTATGGCCTCTCAAACTCAATTGCACTCAAATGCTGTTATTGCCTCTATGGACTACCTTCCTGAAAGTAGCAAGTTGTTCTCACGTTAATTGGGAACTGATCAAGTGGTTTTGGTTACTGGCCACACTTGTTTTAAAGGCATCGACAGTGTTCTTCAATCAGTGCCTGATCTTGCTCATCGTGCTGTTTTGGAGATATTAGTACTTTATTTTTTTTCACGACTGTAAGCAAATGCCCCATTGGACGCAGTAATTCAGTTTTCACCGCCACAAAGGGATATCCCATGCTCCGATTGACGCTCTTGATCAAGTCACGGTATCAATGTGTTGGCCTCCCGTTGCAAACGCAATAATTTAAAACCGTTCTAACATAGATTAGGGTGGAAAAGAAAGTAGTTCACTGTGCCATAAGCCGGAATGGCAGAGTTCCCCCTCCCGCATTGTGGCTTGCCAGCGAGGCAGTTTGTCTCAGCTTGAATCATACATCGTTCGAATAACTATAGTCTGGTAAAATATGTTCTCAAGCTCTCTTCCAAGGAACGAAATATCCCCGGAGTATTCCCGGGGGTTGCTGGAACATGCAGTAAGGTGCTTCCCAAGCCCAGCCACTATCTCAGCTAAGCTGCAAGAACACTTAAAACGAGCTAAGCGCATTCGTCCTCGGTTCATTTTCGAGCTTACAAATCATCCAGTAATAAGAATCTCGAGGGACCGAAGGTTTTCTTTTAACATTGTTTATAGTCTTTGGAACTAAAAGTTTAGAGGCGAGGCAAGGTCTAAAAGAACGTTCTCATGGCACAGGCCACCAGCATGTCTCACCCACCTTCTTTTGCAGGATTCCCTTTTTGGTTTTAAAAGTGAAGTTCCCTTACTCCCTTACGCTTGAGACTGCCGTAATATCTCAGGATAGCCCACCTGAATTTTATAGCAGATAGGATGAAAATAGGGTGTAAGCTTACTTTCTGTGTGCCATTAAAAAAAAAAAAATAAAGTGGAAGAAATGCTAGTCTTAGATTTTTTGACCCACGAAACTTGCGATTCCAGGAAGAGGTGACGAACCAAAGACAAATGTCCTTCCCATACAGCATTGCTCGCTCATCCCCAGCCGTGGTTAAGTAACACCATTCTTGCTGAGGTCACTGTTGGCCAGGGCTCTTCATATACTGGAAGGGGGACGTCTTTCGGCGTTTCCGAAGAAATAGCAAAACGTGCCGAAATTGGGGGTGGGCTATCTTTCGGGGGTGGGGCATCTCGGGATGTTACGGTACTGTCACTGACAGAATCAGAACCTGAGGGAAGAGTTTCAGATGTCCCGCCTCCTCGTTGCCTTCGACGGCACGCTCCGGCATCTCGCGAGCCTCGACCGCACACGCGCAGCCAGAGCACGGTGAAAGGCGGGGAGCGTTTGAAAGAGAGGCCCCGTCCTCACCTTGTCGGCGATCATGGAAGTTTCCCAGATTTAGGGTTGTTTCCACGTCCTCGTGCAGGCGTGGCTGCATCCGCTCAAGTCCCTGCGTTGTCTGGACCTCTCGGGGAACCGCCTTAATCGGCTGCCGGACAACCTGACTCGCCATCTGACGCACCTCAACCTGTCGCGCAACGAGTTCTCAAGCCTGGACGCAGGCTGGTTTGGCTCTTCCCCCTTCCTGGTCCACCTGAACCTCTCGCACAACAGGGTGAGAGTCGGCGGCAACCGCGCGTCGTTGGGGTGGCCGGACGTGTTGACTCTCATTCCCAGACCGAAAATTTGAACAAACACCTCAAAGATAAAAAAAAAAAAAATCTCAAGGTTATTGATGCTTGTGTCTGTGCCTTTGCAAAACTAACAGATGTCAGCGAGACGCAGTATTGACTCCAGAGCACGCGCTGCACGTATAAGTGAGCGGAGATATCTTGCCAAATCGGGCACCAAGTCGAACCGACGCCCCGCATAGATGCACTTTCTAAGGCCAAGCGCTCGTGCTCGAAAACTTCATCTCAACGGTGTGGATGTTTGTGTGAGATGGAGTGTGTAGGCCCCAGAGCACGTACCGCCCATAACCGTAAGCAGAAATGTTTAATATTATCGGGTGCCAGGTCGAACAAACACCTCCCAGAACGCCTCCCGTGCCTTTGCGGCGCTGCAGTTGTTTGTGAGATGGTGTGCAGACCCAAAGGCACGCACTGCGCGTGGCTGTTAGCAGAAATGTTTAGTAAGATTCGGTGCCTTGTCGAGCTAATACTGCTGTTAAGCCAGAAATGAACTGTTCGGGAGAACGGCCTGCACGAAGATGAGGCATGAATTTTAACCGCGTTTATACGCAGTAATCGAGACAACATCGGAAAGAAGTTTAAATGCATCTTAGCGGTCCCATGGATAAAGTTTGGCGGACAAGAATTGCGCAGCAGGATCCGAGCTCCTCCCACCACTTGGGCGACAAAGTTATTGTGGCAAATCGGATAACACACTATACCGGCTGCGACCATGCCACGTCGGATTTCCAAGCGAGAGGTCAGTGGTTCCGTTACCACAGGGGTACACGGCGTTCAACCGGCCGCATTGCCATATTTTTGTTACCACATTTTGTTATGTTCTAGGCCTTGGGAACATCTCTACAGCCCTTTCTGCATTTGCAAAACTGTAGGGCTGAACTTTCAGTGTCGCCCACCAAAGGCCAGTGCGGGGCACAGATTGCAAAAAAATGCTGCGTCGCCGTTCGGCGGAGACTCCTGTTCACTCTGTGAGGACGCAAGCCCCAGCCGAACGAGACGCGGCAATCGCTTCCAATGCGTTGGTCTTCTCGAGGCGACGCTGAAAATGCAGCCTAATAAAATTGTTATCTTGGAGTTTTTTCTTTTTTAACTTCCTCTCTTTCAGTTTTGACATAGGCGGGCATTGTACGCCTATGTGAGTCCTTGATGTAGCTACTATGCTACGTGACATACATTAAAAACTACAGCTGAGCGATCGTACTGCACCGGCCAAACTACACGTAAATAGATTACGTAGGGCAAGTGCCTTCTGCTAAGAAGTGCTGTCTTAAGACCTGGCATTTGCATTCTTCTAACAACTACAGTCGAACCCGGATATATCGAATTCAAAGGGGATCGTAAAATAGTTTGATATATCGATAATTTGATATACAAAAATATGTTAACTTAAGCTCCAGTTGAAATTTCCGCGCGTCTCTGCTAATACCGAGGGCCACGACAAACGGGACCTTACCAAACAGAGCCTCTAAGAGCCGCTAAATGCAGTAGAGCTTAGTTGGTGAAGATCACGAACACCGCCGTTTGTGCGACGGTGTTGGCGATCGTTCACGCCGGGCCACGACCTGCACACAGCGTCAACAACAAAACACACAAAAAAAAAAACTGAAAAAGCGAGTTGCATAAAACAACAAAAAAAACAGTTAAGCAAGCAAGAAAACAAAATGCCAGTAAATTCAGGCAGCAAAAAAAAAAAAAAAAAGGCAGGAAAAGAAGAAAAAAACAAAAATGGACAAAGCAAATCCGAAGAAAGAAAAAAGATCAACAAAGATAAGGTGCTCAAAAGGCGATTGCTCAGCCATTGTTGTCCACACACTCAACTTGAGGAAGATTTTTTTTTTTTTTTTTTAATTTTATTTTGCGGTTAAGGAGTTGCGCTACGACAGTGGTGTTTAGGGAAAGAGCGCACGCTACTGTTCCAACAGTGGGCACTCCCTGCCCTCCCTACGCACGCATGTGCCCTTCCCCTTGTTTTTTCCATCTTCGTTTTTTTTTTTTAAATGCGAAAGCATTAATTGTTCTGTGGAGCGATTCAACGTCATCAGCTTTGAAACCATGCAAAACGGCACCTTAACGAAACTATGCGCAAAGCTAGCCAACGGCACCTTTTGCTCTTCAGTCCCATTGGCTGGCGCGCGTCGACGAGGCTCCCATTGGCCGCTGCGCGTCAGTCTGTGTGGCATCATCCTGACTGTGTTATCACGCTGTTGCGTTATGAGTGATCACCGCATTCGCTCGCCTCTTGTCGGTTGTACGGCGCGTGGCAATATATACGGCGCATGGAATAAACCAAGAGGTTCGTTCTGTTGGGAACTGCGTTGCTGTCTGTTCCTTCCTCGTGCCGCAAGGCAAACAACATTTTGAACGATTGATCACCTGATGGTGCTGCGTGTCTGCGAGGCCACGGCTCCACCGTTCCACGCCCAAGGTCAGCGCGTTGTATGCCGCAGATTAAGGAAAGGAGCGAAGAGCGGCGTGCGTGCTTTCGCATTCACAACTCAAGAAGTGCTTATGTGTACCTCGAGCCTTTTTTTTAGGAGAGAAGCTCCTTAGGGTCTAGCCTTGTCCATCCGTCCGTCGGGCGTCCGTGCTCACATCGATTGCACTGCCTCCGGGATCGGCCCACTTTTAAAAAAAAAATGTAGGCCTCACGGGTGTTCGAACTCAGGACTGCTTGCTTACGAGGCAGACGTCTTAACCACTACGCTACACTCCAACGTTACATGTAGCCGCTCAACGTCTATACAGGAGAGGGCGCTGCGGTCAAATGCGTATATAATCACGTTCAACATTGCATGCATTGGCTCAACGTTTATAGACGAGAGGGTGCTGCGGTCAAATGCTGAAATGCGTATATAACCACGTTTTATACCACACATTCTCTTTCTGACATAGACCGTTGGCTTAAGCGGTGGAGATGCGTTTCCACGGCTTCTAGTGGATCCAAGCTGATCAGCTAGAAGAACCACTGGCTCTGCATTTCACCAACCATAAAGCAGTAATAATGAAGTCGAAACGCAACCCGGAACTCAGCACTACCTATGAGCAATCAAAAAAAATCAGCACCATCAGCACTACCTATGAACAATAAAATCAGTATCATCAGCACCACCAGAGCTTCGCCCCAATCAACATCATTCACCACGTGGAGATGCGGCATCTTTTTTTTCCAACTGCTCTTTTGCTGTGAATTTCTGTGCGCATATGCTGGCTTGGCGGTCTGCCAACCCCGCAACGCGAGCTATGTGCTTGGCCCCTGCGCAATCGGACCGCGGGAGAAGCGACGGGTGGCTGTGCTTTGTTTGCTATATCGAGTGTCCCCGCCATGGGAGTTTGATGCAGAAAAAGAACACTCCTATCTATTATTACATGTGATTTTCAAGAGGATGTTTGGACTGTTCGATATAAACAATAGTGCAAAATACCCGGGTGTGATATAACCGGGCTCGGCTGAATTGCTGAGGACATCAGGGGGTGGGTGGACGTCTGCATTAATTTTTATGGCCTCCTCGTCTCCTTCCGTGAAGTTGGAGAGTCTGGGTCCAGGGAACATATCCGTGCTCTGGGACTCCTACCTGCCAGCCCTTCAAGTCCTGGACCTGTCCTGGAACAAGGTGGGTTGTACGAGCCGCCCACATTTTTTTCAGCATTTGTCCAGCAAGTACCGTAGACGGGCGAGTTGGTGTGTGACGATAGAATAAATACTCCGGCCCAAGAAGAGACACGGGGACGAGTGGCAGACGCACGCAAGTACAGCACTGCCCTCGTCTGTCTGTTTTTTTTCCCAACAAATGCATCGACAGGACGAGGACGTTGCGTTTGCGAATGCTAACGACGAGATGACGCACAGGCGCCACCTATCGGGTAGCCCCGGAACACTAGCGACCTGCACGTATATTGCGCATTATTCTTTCATCGTGGGCCCGAAAGAATTCCGACAGCGTTACGAGTCGCCGTTTCCAACGAATAGCGCAGAGATTCAATCTCTTGAATACTGCGAAGCCTTCGGTGCAGTCGTACACGAATCAGAGTGTTGCAGGGATAGGCGATAGATGGTGCAAGTGCGTTCACGCGTCTTTAGAGAGCCTAGATTGAAGAAAGGGTTTGTCTCCGACCATAGGGAGTGTTTGCAATTTAATGGCCGATGCCTTCTGCGGAGATTGGTCGCAGGTGTGCGTGCGCCGCGTTTTCGCATGGTGGGGAAGAAAGCGGTCGGAAAGGCGGAGGCGTTTGCAGACGATCCGACGCTTTCAATGCCTCCTAGCAGTGCATACTGCAAACGCAGCCTGTAAGTTGCGCGACCCCTATTGAGCAGTTGGGCACTCTCTGGGACTTGGGTCTTCCACCCGTAAGCAGACGTAAAGGGTCGTAACGTGGTCGGTTGGTGGCGCTCAAACGCAATTGAGCGGATTGGCCTTGACGGCTCGTTGCCCGGCGTGTCCGTTCCAGCTGACCAGCCTGTGTGGCAGTTGCTTTGCTGCACAGCCCCGTCTGTCCAAGCTGTGGCTGGAACACAACCGGCTCGAGGCACTCCCCAGCGAGGCCTTTGTGCGCAACAGCCAGCTGGTGGCCGTCTACCTGGCAGGTGAGAGGGCACACCCAGAGCCATTAAAAGGAGCTACGCCTAGAGAAGAGACGCCCCATTCCTCGAACATGGTGCTGGCGCCGCCATTTTGGCGCTTGGCGCAGAGCGAGCGTAACTGGTGATCGCTACGACTCGAAGATGCAACTTCCCGCGCTTTAGATGCGGCGTCGTGAAGCTTGGTGCTGACCAACTGCACCGCGACTGGCCGGCACCGCAATGAAGTGCGGTGCTGGCCAAATGTGGCACTGGCCGATTGTGGCACTGGCCGATTGTGGCGCTGGCCGATTGTGGCGCTGGCCGATTGTGGCGCCGGCCGATTGTGACGCTGAACCATTGCGGCGGTCGGCGACGTCACCGAGTTTCTCGCCGAGTGTCCAACTTGGAGACTCGGGTCTGTGGAAGTCATTTTTGACGGACGCCCGTGGACGCGCTTGTGCAGAGAATCCGTGGCGCTGCGACGACCAGCTGAAGTCGTGGCGCAACAAGTGGCTGCTGTCGCTGAGCAACAACCCGGACAAGCATCGCCCGAGCCTGGAGGTGCAGGACAGCCCCCGGGTGCTCTGCGCCAGCCCCTTACACTGGAAGGTTTGTATGCCGGACAAGCGATGTCTGTCGACACAATCCCGAGACGAGCCAGCTGATGCTTTCCAACTTTTTTTTTTTTCTCGTTTTGAAAGATGAAAAGGAAAAAAGATCACTCTGGTTATTATTCGAGTCGTATAATACCGTATTATCCGATGTTTAAAGGACACATGCAAATGAAAAAGGATTTTTTTTAAACATCCTCGTTGGGAAAAGAAAGTCATAAAACAAATTTTAATGGAGAAGACAAATTTTTAGAGGTATATTTACAGTGCAATACGAATTTGTAGTTGGCACCTGTGGGCGCCACGGAAAAGTGGCTGCTATTTGTATCGTGACTGGCCGCTATTTGTCACGTGGTGCTTGTGCTCTTTCGGAAGCTTCGTATATGGTCTCGAAAAGTTACTTATTCATCTTCGTATGAAGTATAACAAAAAAAAAGAAATTAATAAGTAACTTTTAGAGCCCAAAGGAAACTCCTGAAAATGCACAAGCAGACGTGATACACCTGTGCGCCGGTCAGATGGCGGCGGCGGCGGCCCGGAGCAGACGAAATTGCGCTGCGGCAGTGGTGACGGTGTGGAGAAACGCGTTGAACTGGCGACGCACCATGCTCGGCGTGCGGCGGCGGCGTGACTTTGAGGCGGCGGTGGCGTGACTTTCAGGCAGCAGCGGCGCTGCGCGACGGCGCGCAGGTCAACCACGTGACCCACGGCTGCTCCCGCGGGTGCCAACTACAAATTTGCTTTTGCGCCTTAAATATAGCTCTAAAAATTTTTTTTTCTTCATTATAAATTTGTTTTATAACATTCTTTTTCCATCTGGGCTGTTTACACAAATGTCTTTTTTTTTTTGCATGTGTCCTTTAAGTCGCGATTGTTCGCAAGATTTCCTCCGGTACATTCAGTAGAAAGATGCGATTTATATGCGCCTTTCTATAAGTGCAGACATTAAATACGCGAAGCTCCCGTGGGAATTATATATTGTATATACACGTGTAATGGCGGCATGTATTTTTTTATGATTTCGGGTGAGAACTATGGGTGCAACCATTACACGGAGAAAAACAAAAATATTTTTTTGAAATTCTTTATTTTGACGACATCGTCTGCTACATACTAAAAATGCCATTTCGCGTCCTGGAACAAAGCTGCAGTTCAGTGCAGTGGCTGCTGGGCTTCGCGGAGGGCCGTCGCACTGTCGGTCGAGGAAGGCCGTGGCTGGAACGCGGAAGTTGGTAACGTTCGGCGCCCAGACGGGTCTTCTCTGCCGCGGTGCCGTCCGGAGCCTACGGAAAAAGCGGGTTGAGCAAGCTTTCTGGGTAGGCTACTGGCATGTCTCCGATTTCGAACAAAGCAGCGCGCTCTGTCAGCAAATGTATAACAGCAAGAAAAGCATACCGCATCCCTCCGGTCGCACTGAAGTATGCGTCTTCTTGGCGCTCCACCGACACCGCATGTCTTTGCGTATGACTGCTGCCTCGACACCCGATTTTGGCTTGTTTTTCATCGCAGAGCGTTTCCTGCCGTTGGCGGATCAACTTTTCGTTGATTTCCAAACGTCTGTTAGCTCCGATTTTCGTTAAATAACTTCGCGGTACGGCGTGGTTTGGGACTTTTGACGAAGAAGAGTACATATTCATCAGAATCTCGCACCTGACGCCCAAACGTGCCTTTCTTATTATCTGCGTTGTTGGTGAAAATATGGAAAACAGAAAACCAAGGGATGTGCAGAAACTTGGCGAGGAGAGGGTTGAACTTAAAAGAACCCATGATTCGGCCATTAAGAACACGAAAAAAACCTGGAAAAAAACTGTGTATTAGTCACATCAGTGTTGCCAACAAATAGGTGTTCTTCAATGAAGTGCTGTGCCTCTTTGTTTTCCTTTCTGTCCGTTGTCGTGTTAAGCTTTTTTAACCATAATCATACAATAAATTATGAAGAATGTGGAACATACTTTATTTCATTTATTTTTTTATAATTAGTGCTTAGCAGGACACAACTGGAAAATCGTCTAATCTTTGCACAGGAACAAAGTATTTCTAAAATTTTACTTTCCCGAACTGCTTTGTGATGCATACGAATGCTTTTTTTCCAAGTGGTGAACCGCCCCCCGTCCTTTGGCTGTGCTCGGAGCTAAGCTGAAATGGAGTATGTTACTAGAAGTGGGCTATCTTTTTGTGTTTAAAAAAATATAGCAAATCGAACCAAAAAAAGGGGACGGGCTATCTTCAAGGGTGGGGCATCTCAGGATTTTACGGTTTACGCAGCAACATACGGCACTGTGCCACAGTGCGCCGAACACGCGGGAACCCGCTCCAAGCGTTCTCATTGCAGATACCGACACCGCAAATAGCGCGGTTGATCCGTCGTGAATCGATAAGAGGGTGTATCTTTTGCACCGCGAAAGAAACGCAGACGACTGACTCACACTCCGAGGGATTCAAACCGCTGTCATCCCAGGGTCGCAGACTGTTCCTGTTCGGGTTCCCGCTGTGCGAGCGCTGTGCCTGCAACGTGCGGGTGTCCCTGAGCGTGGAGGTGAACTGCACCGGCAGGGACCTCTCGGAGCTCCCCCCGGCACTCCCGCTGGGAACCAAGGTGCTCGTGCTGGCCAGGAACCACATCAAGTCCCTCGCCATGCCTGCCGAGAAGTGAGTGCCGAGCTCCGGTCGGCGCCACTGCCACGGTCTGGCAAACTTAAAGGGGCACTAGGGTGCTTTCTGTGATCCTCGTTTTGCGGTCATAACTCAATCTACGAGCTCTAAGCATCTTAAAAGACCCGAAATTACATTCATGCGCGGCCGATTTGCATTTTAAAAAAGTGATAAAGTTCCCGACACGTACCGTTGGCGTAGAGCGACAGATGGCGCTACCGAACCTTGCTGAATATGGTCGAACGACGGACGGTGCTTGCCAGCCACTCGTGAACGATGGGTTCCCGCGTGGACAAGCGGCCAACCAGTCCTGCTAGTCAACAAAAAAACAACAAAAAAACAACCGCATCTCCATGTGGTGAATGATGTTGATTGGGGCGAAGCTCTGGTGGTGCTTGTCTGCGTAGACAATGAGCCGCAGCATGCCCAGCCCTTCGTTCGTTTTCATCTATGTCACAAAGAGAATGTGTGGTATGGAACGTGGTTATATAGGCATTTGAGCATTTGACCGCAGCGTGACATGAATGAAAACGAACGAAAGGCTCGGCATGCTCCGGCTCAGCGTCTACGCAGACGAGCACCACCAGAGCTTCGCCCCAATCAACATCATTCACCACGTGGAGATGCGGTTGTTTTTTTTAGGGTGCTTAGAGCCCATAGATTGAATTAGGACCATAAAACGAGGATCTCAAAAAGCACTTTAGGGCCCTTTTAAGGCCCTTTCCCACACACGCAATCGCTTACGACAGAGACAGAGTCCTTGCAATCTTTTACGACGAGAGGACACGCTGGGCACCGTCCACGAGGTGGCCCTGGAACTGCGTCTCGCTAGTGTGAAGGTTTTGTGGTGCTTGTAACATACTATCTACGAGAAAGGATTGTTTATGACATTTTTAAAAGATTTTTTGGAGTTGAAAAAGAAACGATGGCGACCCAATAAATAGAACATATATGGAAATGCCAAATGTACCGGGGCTGTCCGACAAATGGCGCCAGTGTATTTTCTCGTCGCAAGGGGTTTTAAGCAGTTTCAAGGCGCATGGTCATAAGCTTTTGTGAGTGTGTTAATCAGCCTTTGGGAGCTGCCCCTTTGCCAAACTGGCAGAGGGGTAACATATGGGGTTCAAAGGGGTTAGGACACGAAAATCTAATGGGTGGATCATTCTTGAAATGAAATGCGGGTTAGAGGCTATTTAGAATCTACACAGTATGCAACTGGTTTTTATTTTAAGGGTCGTCTTTGCTCGCATGCATGACCATTTTGATTATAAAAAAAATATAAGTGAAGTCACAGTCACTATAATTAAAGAGTAATGTGTCGCAGTTACAGTTCCTTCTAAAGTTCTCGGTGTTACATTCAAACTTGGCCAGTGTTGTTTGGAATACCTATGAGACATGTTACAATTGTAAAACTAGTATACTCCGGAAATTGTACTTGAGTATTTCTTTAAGTTTCAACTGTCACTGAGTTCTGTGGCCTCGGTAATGCCGGTGAAACTTGTGTCGTTTGTATTTCCAGTGTGGGCTACGAAAACCTGCTACTGCTGGATGTACAGGGCAATGAAGTGAGCTCCGCTGACCAGGTAAAGCGCCAGGGTAGCTTGCGTAGTGTGTGTAGGATTAGCCATAGCCTCCTATATACTGACAAAGCCTGGCAGATCGCCGCGAGAAGTGGCCGCCAAATTGGAAAAGGTGGAGCGGCAGACAACGGATGAGAGGAGAGCCACAAGACTGGCGGCCTGCTGCGGTGAGATGTCGAAACACACTTCTTCCGAGGGAAGAAGTGTGTTTCGGCGCTGACGTCCAGGTTCCCCGAGAAATGGCTCTTTGATGCTCTGTGCTACCAGATCATCGCGCTCCGAATCTGCGACCGGGCACTCTATGGTTCCGTCGTCAAACTTCCAGGCTTTGTGAGTATAGACGGGGCTATGGATTAGCTTCTTGCAGCATCTATTTCACCTTGCTGCCTCACTCGAAGTTGGAGCCTTCTGAAGGAATTAACTCTCCACCGAGTCCTAACCCTGCTTTTGAAACCATGATTCTGTTGTTCGTCACACGTGCACAACCGTATGACTCGGCCCGTTTCGTCGTGACAAAGAAATGCCAGTAGGGGGTACCAGGACCAATTGACAAAACAGGAGTGCAAGGCCAGGGCAGTCGTCTTTCTTCTCTTCTTCGCTTTTGCCGAACCAGACGGCCTAGACCATTGGTCCGCAACCTCTTGCGACGGCGGTTCGAGTTGTCACAAAACTGACACCGAGGGGGCCTGACGGCAAGTCATGAGGTGGGGCAAAGGGTAGGTGAAGAAAAGGCAAAAAGGAGGCAAAGACGTTTTCTGCCAAAGTATGGGGATGCCAGACAAACACACGGCCCGCGGGCGGCCCGCGACTTGCTGGGACGCGGCCCGCAGGCAACCGGCTACGAGTCCCGGTTCTCATGTCTCAAGCGCTAGAAATGGCTTGCGCCATAGTGATCCCATCTCGTCGATTCATTTTCGCTCAAAAAGTACCGCTATGCTCTTTGAAGATATTCACACAGTTTATAATTATCTGTGTTATTTGCCCTTTGCTTTTTTTTTGTATTGTTTGTTTCCCAGCTTTTGGTAGTGTACAACAATTCCGCTATTAGGCTGCAAGTGCGAGCTCTTCTTTGAAGGATGCATGTCGGCTGCTCGAACTCTCGATCAGCAGGAGCAACTGCCAAAAATAAAGCGCTACGAGCTCGGGATTCTTGCCTTAAAAAATACTACCATTAACACACAAGTATTTGTTCAGAGTGTTGTTAGAAAAATCGCCAGGAGAGCAACAACTGCCAAATTAACTGATTGGTTTTAGAGACATGTTCAGCTTGGCTAATTCCTGAGTGAATTGAGCAATGGAAAACACAGTGTACTTGCTCTCTTGTTCTATTAAAAATGCCCTCACATCGGCGGGGCGGTATAATTTTACTTATTGTTATCACATCATGTCAGGGCTCAAAGTAGTCGTAGAAACAAATCAATTTTGAAGATGTCACCGGCAGCACTGTGAGTTTAGAAAAAGCATACACAATGAGGTCTCTTTTCTTTAAAATCTTTTGAACCCCCCCCCCCCCCCCCCCAACTTACGTTGGCCCTCGACCTTTCCTATGTGGGCAATCTGGCCCCCACACTCAAATGAGTTTGAGACCACTGCTTTAACCACTCAACCCGAACTGTACTCGTCATAGAAGGTTGTACCAATATCGCCGATGACGAGTCACACTCGTCCAGCCAAAATGATGGTTTGCTTTCACTGCCAAACACGAGACAGGTTCGTCCATCGGCTTTAGTTTCAATTTTCAACACTGGAGGGCAGGAGGGGTCGCGCAAATATAGCGTGTTTTGTCCTTTGGTATGTATCTAGCCCTGCAACAGTGATCAGAGATGGCAGCGCGCTTGAGTGATGCCGGTGACGGCCCTCGGAAACAGGCTCTCTCTTGCGGCAGTTCGAACAGTAGCGACGATGAAGACATTGAATTTGTCTCTGAAAGTGAGTCGGACATGACGACGACCACAGTGACGAAGAAGACGACGCTCTGGGTAGTGTTCGAGTGTGGCAATGCGTAAACGCTGAAAACCCGCCACCCGCGCCTCCGAGGTTTCCTTTTTGCGCAGCGCCTGGGATTCTGCGGCAACTCACTGACGAAAAAGACATTCTCGGCTGGTTCAAGGTTTTTTTTTTTTTTTGATTGGGACCTTGCCAACTTCATTGTGACAGAGACAAACCGCTATGCGGTCTCGCATTTCCCAGCGCGGGGTTCTTGATGGAAACCGGTGGACTGCGAAGAGATGATGGTGTTCCTTGCGCTAATCATTTTGCAAGGAATCGCTACTTACGGAACTTTGTAAGCGCTTGTACGGAGAAACGTCTAGGCACTTGATCTTTTGTTATGGTGCAAATTTTCAAATAAATACTGCGCATTTCAGCACGTGTTATTCTTACTCTTACATGCACTAAGGGAAAGCTTCCATAAAAATCAACTTTTTCTTTTAAAATTTTCGTGTTAATACGTATCAGAAACCAATCAAGTAATGTAATTGCAAAATCAGAACCACACAAGAAAAAATATGTGCAAATAAAAAAAATTTGGGGAAGTTTGTACATTTTTCTTAAAGATAACTTGGTGGTTGAAGGGTTGAGGTCAAAACTGCTGCGTGGTCCTTTAATCCGTGTGAGGAAGTGGCAGAGGGGGGGACGTGCTTTTCTGGTATCGTGCTGGGGGCTGCACGAATTGCCTCGCCGGGGGGCCGCATGTTTCCGACCCTTGCTTTGGACCGGCTCGTTTCTCACCTCTGACAAAAAGTAGGCTAAACCACGTGGCTCAATTTTATTTTTTACTCACGATGGAGGCGGGTTGTTTCTCGGGTATTTATCGGTGGCCGAGCGAGTCAACACGCCGTAGCTCGGAGCACGTGGAGCGAAACCTCGCACTTCAGAATCCAGGAATCGTGGGTTCAACCTCCACCCCTGCTCGTTTTGATCTGGATCAGCATAGTACCAATGTGTGGTCGTACATCACCAGCGCATGGTACAGATTAAATAGCTGAGGCTAGCAGTAGCACTGCTCCCATTAGATGTTTCATCCATAGCAGACACACTAGCTTCCCATTGGGGCTGATTAAAGGGCCTTCTAAACAAACATACTACAATGCATAAACAAACCGAAACAAGAGGGGTTGTGGTGTTGTAGAGATTGCAGTGCCACACTTCAGGATACTGAAGCTTTCTGTTATTTTAAGATGGGTTCGATTAATGGCCCCCCTTGCACCGGTACTGCTGCCGTGTAACTCCCATCAGCTTAACTTCGAAGGTCCGATCGGTCGGGACAGAAGCCAAGACAGTGGTCGTCGTTGTCTGAAGGTTGTGGCCGCTCTTTGCCGACCTGCAAAATGACCGGCACGGCGCGAAGGTGCACGTCGCTGCGGCGGCCCGTCCTCTGTCGGCAGGTGGAGGGAACGCGGGGCCTGCGCTCCCTGATGAGCCTGAACCTGGGCTGGAACCAGCTGAGCTCCCTGCCGCCGCACGTGCTGAAGCTGCTTGGGGAACGCTCCAACGACTCGCTCCGCCTGGGGCACAACCCCTGGCTGTGCGACTGCAACACCGTCAACTTTGCAGTCTGGCTGCAGCACAACAAGGCACGTTCCCTTCACCTGCACGCTCCGTCCAACGGGGTCGCACTTAGGGGTGTCACGAAACTGCCCAGGTTCAAGTTCGACCAAGTTCGACTTTTTGAAATTTCGACGTGACGTTCGACAAAGGTTCGACTGAAGTTAAACTTTTGTACACATGTGCGAAAATTACAAAAGCAGTTGACTCCACCTGGTGGACGAAAAGTGCAATATTTGTTGGGTGTATTGGAATCGCCAGGCTCATTCGATTTACCTGCACTTCCTGCACCGGTGCAGGAAAGTGTAGGGTGGTGCACTTCCGGCTGCATCTCAATACAGATACCGAAAGTACACTGCCCCACACTTTCCTGCACCGGTGCAGGAGGTGCAGCAGGTAAATCGAACAAGCCTACTGGTTCACATTACCAACCATTGAAAGCACTAAAAGCGCATATTTTCGCTTTTATATAGTTTAAACATTGGTAACCATCTTATAAAATAAAAAAATAAACTACTTTTTCAATTATATGTTTCCCAAAATTCGAGTTATTCAGTTAAAAGTCAGGCAACACTGCCCATAAGTCGAACTTCTTCGAACTTCCGTGCCAGTATTGTCGCTGGGATTGAGGATGAGGGAGAAGAGTGTTGCTCCCGCATTAAGGACAGTGATGGTGAGTCAGTCGTTACGAGCGTCACAGACTGCTCAAACATGGAAAAGAATGAGTAAACCTGCTACGCGGACCTTGAGAGTGAAATCGCCGAGTGTGACGGCAGAGATTGACGACGATAGTGAGCGGCCTGAGGCCTCCCCCGCTCTAGGGGAAATTATAGTCGCTGAATGTCGTCCGCAGCTTTGTGGAATGTAACGGCGGTGATTCCGAGATGTTTGCGCCTAGTTAGCCCTCTTGAAAATATGACGGTCGGCGCCGCTAATTACAGACCGCGGCAGTCCCATATCGCCGACTACTTCGGTTGATGTTCTCTCGTTTTGACTACTCGTTTTGAACAAAATGTTTCCTTCAAGATTCAAGGCTTCATGCACACTTTTCTGTCGTTTTCTTTTGTTTTTCAATAATTCGCAAATCCGCTTAATTTACATATTTTTCGCCGTCTGACCAAGTTTGAAATAATGAGGTTCTACTGCAATCTGTGAAGGCCCGTTCACACTCTTGCGACTGGGTTCCTTAGAACTTCTTAAACCAGAAAACACACTGGCGCCATCTATTGGAAAGCAGTGTAAACTCGGCGGTCCGGCATATTTTTTTTTATTTCTCGAGCATTATCCTTTCTTTCTTGGCTCGAAAAACTTTTGACAATGTTATAAACGAGCCTCTCTATGGGTATTACGCACATTTGACCTCGGAAATCCCGCAAAACCTTCGCTCTTGTGAAATGCAGTTCCAGGGTCACCGCATAGATGGCGCCACAATGTCACTTGTGTTCCCTCATTCTAAAAACATTTAAGAAGTTGTAAGAGATCTCGTCTCTCTCAGTCGTACTCGGTCGCAAGAGTGTGAACGGGCCTTAAGAAGTCAAGTGCCAAAACTATCAAGACAAATCTTCAAACATAAATTACAACAACCCTATCTCTTCTATTGTGTCGCTGTTCACTGAAGATAAAAAGCGCCACAGAAATCCCTCGGATCCACCTGTTCGCTCGCTTTCTTGGTCGGTTCTGTTGTCACGACAAAGCGGCCGAGCAGGGGCCGTACCCTTTGCTCACAGCACCACAGATTGCGAAGCTTTTTTTCCCCTCCCGCGGCCGTATTTAGCATGTCCGCCATAAATCGCTGCCTGTTACAGCTGTGGAACGGTTTTGTCGTGGCTACTTTCCGCAGCAGCAAGATATAATCCGTCCCTCAGAACCACAATCGCGAAGCGGACAGATCGGACAGGCGTGGTGTGGTGGCCATCTTGAACTGCATCCCTCGCTGGCTGTTTCTTATCTCGCCAAGACTCGTTCTCGCGAGACCCACGCTAGCACGCTGCACTACGTTCCTCGCCATTTGGGTCAGATAGCGCGCCTCCTTTAGCTTCCACAGCTCTGCAATGTTTCCGCTAGCAGCGCGCATGCGCAGTAGCTTCGTCGCCCTAGCGTATAGCGTAGCGGGACAGCCAAAACAGTCTACTAAAACTCTATTAAATTCATTCCAACGAGGCCCTGGAGAAACCGAAGTTCCAGACTCTGCGAGTGCGGTGCGCTTCTGTGCGGGACATTCATAGTCTTTGTTGAGTGAAGGCATTGTTATTGATCAAATATCAACAAAAATTGAGGTATAAAAGAGGTTCCATATAATAGCAACAAAAATTTAGCTATAAAAGTGGTTCCAGTCAGTGACAACCTAAGAAACACAAGGTGCAGGTTCTGATATTTACGCTCCATGTCTCGTGATTCGTTCTTCGGAGTTCTTATCGGCGAATGCTGCAATCTGATTGGGTTTGGCTATAATGAGGAGTTTACGACTCACCACACTCTGCGTTTTTTAAGCTTTCGGTGCCTGTAGCGCTTGCTCAATGACGAGTCATTCATAAGGCGGTGATATGCGGACTTTGGAACCTATATGTTGTTCGGAAGTCCGCACTTTAGTATGAACAACTGAAGTAATCGCAAAATCCGCCAGTCGTTTTAATGCATGGCAGGATCGTTCTTTCTGGAGCGTGCATCTGGCACCAAATATCTTCCACTCAGAGTTTCGGAGTGGCATCGATTGAAAATCTGCTGTGCCGAAATCGGCTGATCCAGCTAAAAGTCAGCTAGTAGCGCACACTTCCTGGCTTGGCGAGCACAACACGATTCCTCCTTCTGCTAGTCCCTTGAGGGTTTTTAGACACTGCTCCAAAATGCTCGGAGGAACTTTTCAAGTTATTTTTGTCAGGACGCCTAGCTTTTTGTCCAGATTTTCTAAAAAGAATTGCTTGTTTCGTGTTATGCAAATGTCGTCAGTTCTTGGGCTCTGACGTACTATCCGTCACACTTTGTTTTGCCACAGGTGCGAGACATTGAAGACATCCGCTGCTCGGACCTAAGCTCAAGTCGGCTTGCCGGACAGGCCATCTACACCCTGCTCAAGTCAGACCTCTGCCCACAGCCAACCAACTGGACCAACGGGCTGCTGGATGCGGTTAACGGCATCATGGCTTTTCTCATCCTTGCCATCCTTACCAAGCTTTTGAGGGACTACTGGCGACAGAAGCGCTCCGGAAAGCTGCCCAAATTCTTCGGCTTCGTCTGAACCTCGACGTGAACCATAGCGGAGATGGCAAACTGTGGAAAGCATTGCCCTGCTGTCACTGTGCCATCTCTTCGGCTCGTCGTCTGCTACCATCGTCTTCAGGCGTCGGTCGTTGGCTTCAGCGAGTGCCGTTTGCCATGTTGCGTGACCTGCAAGTGCTCTTTAGTAGTGATGTCTTATGAAAATGGCCGACTTCATCGTCTGTTAAAGTGTGCCCTCGTCAAGCTGCTTGATTCAAACACCTTAGGCAGTTCTATCTGGTCTGAACTTTGCCTTGGACCTTTGGTTGGGAATGGAGATTGGCTCTGGGAGCACCCTGTGTCCGCCAGTGCCATTCGTTCGTGTCATCGTGTGGTAGCGATGGCTTCCAGCATCGCTTGCCAGAGTGCTCAGCAAGTCTTGTCTGCTTCATCATTCACTGTCTGGCTATGGTTTTTTGGGGTGTTGGCTAGCGGCCCCTTCAGCCAGTGTAGTGCCTTTGGCAAACTACTTTATCCAGATCAGTTTGAATGGACAAGTAGGTAAACTGAGGTTACCTATGTGATTTCTTTGGTCAATCTTTGTTTGCTTTAGGCTGATAGTTACGATCAGCAGTGTGAGAGAAGCGGTGTAAATATGCCAGTAGAGTAATCACCTGTCTCGAACACCGGAGAACTAAAAGTGCTAAATGTCTAAAGCTGTCGGCCTGGTTCTCACCTTTTAAGAACTGCAGGCATCAAAAGGAGATTTTTCAAAATCGCAGAAATGAAAATGTTTCGGCTTGGTGCCTTTATCATGGGTCCTGTGCAAGATCTGCTATTTCCGGAAGACTTGTGCTTCAAGCTCACTTTTCAAGCTATCTCGGAGAGTTGCCATCTTCAGACATTTTTGGTGCGTAGCTGAACTAGGAGGACATCTTACGTGACCTCCACGATTTTAACGTTGATCTGTTCCTCAACCTTATTATCGCTTTCAAGGCTCATTTGCTGTTACTGTGAAAAAGAGAGGGTATGTGACGTCTTCTGAGCAGAGCTGGAGTAATTCCGAGCTGCTTTGTCAACCTTCCGGATGCATGTGTCTTGAATGTCGTCTGCTCCTCTGTGTGATGTTGCTTCCGTTGATGTGCCAAGTCATTTGAAAAAGAGGGTCCCTCAACTTATAGTGCGAACAGCGTTTTTACTGTTTCACTTCGAGTGTGTTAACGAAGAAAAGTGCCACATCGAGAGCACAGAATGTCTGTACTAATGTGTGCAAGCTCATGTAATGACTGCGCTCGTCTGCTAGCCACACGGCACATTTGTGAAAAAACCTTCACTTGCCATCTTTAGTTTGTGACAGTGCTGTCTCTAACTTTTGAGGTAGTGAATCACTTGAAAAACTTTTTTCATTGCACCTGTGCACATTCAAAGATGCACCCTTTTTTAGGGGACATGCAGTTTGTTTGGAAAAGGTTGACTACCTGGGTGAGGTGACATTCAGATCTGACCTCCTAAAACTTAAAACCGGGTCATTGCAGCGTAACGTGAGCATGCATAAATATGGTTATGTGATTCTTTCGACAGTCCAAGGATTGGGACAGAATTTGGAATTTTAGTTGTGGCCACCACTTATACTTGTGTTTTTTGAAGAGTAGTGTAACAGAATGTGCTGTCGGCAATTTTTTTTTTTTTTTGCCTTGATCTGGGCAAGTCTGTGTAGAGGACTTTTCTTTCGTTCCTTTTATTTTGTGCCGAAGAATGTACAAACAGTGCCAGCAATTATTGCCACTTTATTGAGTTTAGCTCAAGCTTTGCTCAGTACCACACAGGGTTGCACCGAGAGTCCATGACAACGTCCCATGATGTTCAGTCTAGTTTCAGTGTTTTTAATGTGTCACTACGCTCTTCAGAGAAACAACCAGCTAATAATGGAACAAGAAAGTTCCCAACAGTGAGCATAATGCCCATGTGCAACATATCATAATGACTTTTCGGGTTGGTTGTTGTTCTATAAATCTATTGAAGGATAAAGAGAAAGGTCAAAATTTGAATAAGTTTTAAAAATCCTTTTATTTTGGGGTTCCAGCAGCCCGAGTCACATATGTAAACATATGATGTCATCTGGCAGAAGCATTCGGAACTGAAGCTGCTGTTGCAGACCGCGTGCAAGGAATTGTGGGAATGTCCTGGTATGCTGCTCCTTGCTCCCACAGCATCTACCATGCAACATGGAAGAGAGTGAGAGAGAAGGTTGCGCAGTTGCGCGCCTGCCCTTGCCTGCTTGCTTGCACTGCCCTCTGTTAAGGCGCGTTCACACGGGCAAGTCATAGCTGTCGCGCGACAACTTTTGTCTCAAACGCAACAGTCGCAAGTCGCGAAAGCGAGCGGTTGGAGCAGTCTCTTCCAGACCGATTTTAGCAACTTGTGCGAGGTCGCCCGGTGGCTGAACCAATCAGCAACGCTTCGGAAGTGACGTGAGGTGCGCCTCGCGTTTGCTTACATCTGGCACGCCGAACTTCCGTGGGAGAAGCAACCGACATGTCCATTCAATGCCTCGGTTCGCGGTAGCGGCCGTGGGTACAGAGCCACGGATGTCTCTGCAGCGGCTCTGGTCAGAGCTTGTATTAAAGAATGCTCATCGCTTTATGATCGCAGCACCGCTATTTGAACGAGCGCTTGTAAAAGAGCTCGGCCTGGGAGCAAATCCATTCCACTTTTGTCTTGACAGGTACGTTCTGCGACGCGGTAGCTCGAGTGACTGCACGCCAATGTAGCGATTGTGCTTCTTTGTACGGTTCCGAAGGACCCAGTTTAACATAACGAGTCTTTTTCATATGGCAACGAGGACGCGTGTGTAGCTACGAGAGATGAAAATGGAAGAGCAGCGAAACTCGAACCCGAGCTGTGGCAGGGTGCACTGAATCGACAGCGGCTCCTGAGCTTCCAAGAAGTGACTCGCCATTAGCGACTCACCGATCGTTTGCAGTGTGAACGTCGGTTGTCGCATGTTGCTAGTCGCCAGTGTGAATGCGCCTTTACAGTCGGTTCTGTACAGCTGTTTCCCAGAATTCATTTTGGATCAGGATGTTCTGCAAGAGGTCTACTGAATAGTAAAACATGAATATTTCTGTTTCAGGATGGTTCTAAAAAGAATATGGTTAATATCTTGAGGCTCCTTGTCCTAATTATATTTTTACATTCTCAATGTCAAGTAGCACTGCCCCCTGAAATATTCCTAATTTGCTACCAGATAATAATTTCTTTTTGTCGCACATAGTCTACGAGTTTTGTCTATAATTTTGTTATAATGGGGTGATTGGCTCTTAAGTCGAAATTAAAGTGTTGTAGTAAGTGCAATACGAGCCGAAGAAGATGTGTTAACAAGGCATTCGTGGAACAATTTAATCTTGTGGATGTTGTTTGGTTTGATTTGCATGTAATTTCAGAGTTATTTTTTTGAGCTAGCAAATTAGGGGTTGATTGCATACATTTTGCCCTTTTACAGCTGAATATAATTGCAAGTATATATTTGTTCACTGCTTGTTTTAATGTAGGCTGGCCGTCATATTGTTAGAATAACTCCCCGCCAGTGTTCTTTTACTTGATGATAATGCAAAGGTGCAAGCGAGCTGGACAAGAATGACGAAAATAGTCCCTGGAGGAGGGGAACAAGGGGGACAAAGGATAGATGCGCGACCGCAAAAATCCGCCTGGAGAGGTCCCTGGTTACCAGGACCAGGCGGATTTTTTCGGTCGCGCACCAGTCAGCTAGCTGTGTTTGGAGATTTGTGTTTGTTCTTTGTCCCCCTTGTTCCCCTTCTCCAGGGATTATTATCGTCATTCTTTTACTTGTTTTAATAGGCAGAGATGTACTCACTTTGATTGGGGTACCTTTGAAGGCTGAGAATACACTAGAACTATCTCATGAGGCTGCCACAGTCCACTTTGGAAGGAGAGAGGTGTATCAGTAAGGCCAGCCAAGTCGGCAAACGTTTGCTCGGGCTTCGCGCATCTCCCGGCAGGGGCACTGTCTGTTTAGGCCTTCGCGCAGTTACGGTCGCGTGCAGTGGCTCTCATCGGCTCCAATCACTACTGTTTTATTAGTGGGTACATCTTGGTTTACCGGCTTCCTACTACCCTAGACGCGTTGCGCCGTCTCACGGCGTTTGTCAGAAGCAACGAGGTTAGTCAGAAGAGAGAACCTTCGCCACACTCGTTCCATGGCGATGTGGCGCCGTTCAGACACACCCCTTCCTCCGTGTTCCAGCCCTTGTAGTTGCCATTCAAATAACTATGGTGCAGAGAATTGAAACGTAATTAAAGGGTATATTTTTAAACGTAACACTACAGCGAGTAGTATCAAATAATCTTTGGTTTTGAGCACGAAAGTTTTTGCTTGCTCAAAGCAAAAATGTGATGTTTCATAAGTTTAGTTCCCACTTTCTTAGGAGATTGTGTTAGCAAGTTGAAGTTTTCTTATATTCAATTGAAGAAAATTACCGTATTTACTCGCGTATAGGTCGACCTGTTTTTCAAAAATCGCCTCATCAAAACTGCGGGGTCGACCAATACGCGAATCCCGGTATTATATTTTTCAACTTTTTTTTTTTTTTTTCGGGGGTCCCGAAGTTAGGGGGTCGACCTATACGACGTATCGACCAATATGCGAGTAAATACGGTAGTTTTTTTTCTTCTGACAATGTGCGCGCTATCCCGTGCTGCAGCTCACAAAGCAGTGCAGTACCAATTTTAGTTGTAAACATCACATCTTGTGTTCGGCCCCCTCCCCCCTCGTTTGATCGTAATTGAAAATCTCAAATAATCAGCACCACTGAAGCAGTTTGCCTAGACATCACCCGGTGTTCATTTCAGCTCAATTTTTGAGGGAGTGTCCTGCTGCTTATTCGTAAGTGTTTTCCGGGGAAATGCCGTTTGTTTGTGTCCTGCGCAAACGCTTTATACTTGTTCAAAGAAATGAGACATGTTCCAATTGGAGGAGCAGTGCCAAGATTAGAGAACCAGCTCGTCGCCATCATGACGTGTAATAATGTGGGCATTCGTTATGAAAATAAAAGCGACGAAAAAGTCCAACTGCTGTGTTGCTTCTATGCCAACCCAAGTAACCTTCGACCTCTTTTGTTGTCTGGTTTATATGTAGGAAGAGTGAGGACGCAAGCCATTTATTTGCTGTGATTTGCTGGCAATACCTGCTAATGATTAGATTGCAATTAAATACCAAGGTGCAAGCGAGCTGGACAAGAATGACGAAAATCCTTTGTCCCTCTTGTTCCCCTTCTCCAGAGATTATTTTCGTCAACCTGCTAATGAAGCGTAAAAAAAAGAAAAAGAAACACACACAGAATTTAGTTTTAGACTTTCTTTTGCTTAATTTTTTTTAAATATAAAAAACAAATATTACACTTTTCTTGCAAAAAAAAAAAAATCGAATGATGATGTTGGGTGGACGTTAATGCAAGCTATAGCCTTTGTAACGGGCGGTAGCTAGCGCCACCTAGCGTAAGTCTGAAAAGACAAACATGTGACTCCTCCCGTCCTTCTAAGACCATTTTTCTTCCCTAACTATCACCAGGCAGTGTTGGACATCACCTGGATGACATTCCGGGGATTGGGCAAAAATACTAAAATCATCACCCCCCGCCTCTTCCCCCGACAAGGGAGTCGCCAATTTTCCTCTTGTCAAACCTTGTCGGCGTTACCCCAGCACTGGACCCACTGGGAGACAGGGTTCCCAGGTGAAAATCAGTCCACTTCCAGCTTGATTATGGAACTGGAAATGAGGCAGTCCAGCTGGATTCCAGCTGGGTCCAGCTGGATTCCAGCTGGGTCCAGCCGGGTCCAGCTGGAATCCAGCTGGACTGCCTCATTCCCAGTTCCATAATCCAGCTGGAAGTGGACTAATTTTTGCCTGGGTTGGGACTTTGGGCCGGAGCCACGCGGGAGGGAGTCCCAATCTTCTTCTGTCCCGCCTGTCCCCAGCGGTGCTAGTTAGTTGTGTATCATTCAATTTTCTCTAGATAATTTCCACCCATCTTCTAATCGCCTCTTTGTGACTGTAAAACTTTTCTATTCCGTCCATCGTCGCCAGCAGAACACAGGGCCCCGGCCACATACGTTACCCCTTCAGGGAGGGTGGGGCGAAGCCCCGTGCACTTCAAAACCAAGTGCTCTAGTGTCTCGTTCTCATTATGGCGGGCGGCACATAACGTGTCTGTCTCCTGAAATTGAGCTCTATACGTCCTCGTCCTCAAAACTCTCTTTCTCGCCTCGAACAGCAAAGAAATTCCCAGCGAATTGTCAAACACATTTTCCTTTCTTGTCCTGTTTATGTGTCCTGTACATTGTTAGAGCTGACTTTTCCTGCATTCTTACCTCCTGCACTTTTCTTTCTCTCGCACTTGTTTTTCCACGGAAGTCGCCTGCTCAGCCCCATCACTAGTGTGTAGGTATTTAAATGTAAGTTTTCGGGTTCGGTTTGTCCATTTTGTGTTTAAACTTTCATGTATAAATACTTGAATACCTTCCGTGCCCACCGCGTATTCATTTCGGTCAAACTTTGTTCCAATTTCAACTCACTAATTGCCTTCCTGCTTCTAAAAGACGACCAGCCCATCTCCCCCTGAGCTTCCTAATTTGGTGTCTTTCCATTTGCTTCTAGTGTCATTCTACCTACGCTTCTTTGTCGAATCTCTAATCCTGATTGAACCTCTGATTTCAGGCGCAGTACCCCATTTTCAAAAGACCAGTCCTGGTACCATCACTCCATATACCTCTGACGACATCATATCTATTATAGATCCATAGTGCCTTTAGCTTCATAATAGATGAATTTCTTTTCCCTTCTCTAATTATATTCTCCTAATGTTCCTCTAGATATTTCCTTCCCTCATGAGCCAGACTACCAGATATTTGTATTTTCCTATATGGTCTATTACAATGTCTTGTATCCTCAGGGGTTCCCTCTTTTCGTCGTTAAACACCATTACTCCAGAATTGTCTACACTAAAATTTATACTCAAGGTGTCCCCTTCCTCCCCGCATATTCGAGCTAGTTATTGTAATGTATCTTGGTTATCTGCCATTAGTACTATGTCGTTCGCATACATCAGACCTGGTATTACCTGTATTACATTTCCCGTGGGTATTACATTTCCCGAGAGCGACAGTGAAAAGAAAAAGGGCTTAGGCTACCGGCGCTTTCCCCCTTGCAAGACCGTTAGAAAGAGCGAAAGTCCCGGATGAGAGGTTTCGCCGGTGTTGGGTGAATGCATTGCGCGAACTTTGTTCACGCTTTCTTCTCTCTTTTAAACTCGAAAAATTAGTTAGAGCCACGGGCTTGGATGGCGAGAGTTCCCCGGTCATCGGAATACCATTGCTCGGTTATAGGGTGCACGAATAGCGACACAAAGCGTTGAATACTGTCCTAGGACCTATGTATATCTTGTACGGAATCCGACAAGGCGAGTGCGGCTGCTCCATCGCTTTCCACATGACCCCAATTTCCGACGGCAGTGGGTTGCGTCCTATAAACCGAAAAGATTTTTCCCTAAGGCCATCCTCTCGACTGTGCTGGGGACATTTTGTGAATGGAGCGGGCACTGCACTTAACGCTGTACCGTCGATGAACATGGGGCACGCTTGCAGGGTGCGTGGAAGTTTTCTCGTGATAGTTGCGGTTTCAGTATTTGAAGTGATGACACTGACTCGATTTTATTATCTACAACACTTAGTTGAAGGCTGATTTCTGCCGCCGTGTGTGGCTGGAAACTGTTGAAAAGTCAGTTATATCGCTTTGCCTGAATCGCGATCTCCTGCGCGATACCAGAGAGCCGTGAACCTATGTTGACCGTGTACAACGCGACTAGATTATTTCTTATTTTCAAAATTATTACATATTATAGCCGGTAAGAAACCTTCAATTTCTGTTGCTGAAAGTTGAACCATGCTCATGCATCGATTTCGACTCGTTTTCGCAATAGGGCCCATCTCGACTTTGCTGTTTTGAGTTCTCCAGAAAAGACACTCGTCGACACGGGATCCTCAAGTAAAACGTTTATAAACACCGATGCATGAGCATGTCTCAACGTTTATAAACATCCCCGCTACTCGACTTGGTCGTCTGCGTTGCCGCCCGCCGTAGACCCTGGCAAGTTTCTTGCCCTTATTTTTTACAGAAAGAGAGCTACGCTTTATAATTTTTGAAGAAAAAAAAAAAAAAACGACTTGCGAAATACATTTTTGGCGAAAACCTTCGCCAAAAATATTTTTAAAGTAATTAACACAACGTGGCGGAAGCAACATACCCCTTCCCCGAAACGGTGGCCTTAGCGCGTCTGCTACTGGTGTTTAGCGTCCTATCCCTGCCTGCACATTGAAAGAGGTCCCCAATTGGCAACAAATGACGTCACGAATGATGGAGCGTCATGTCCTCGTCGAACGTCGCAATCCTGGCAGCTGGTCGTAGAAATGCTGGCAAAAGCGCGAGCGAACGCGAGTGTCGCTCCCACTACGGCGTCGCAACTCTTGGCTGCTGAAGGTTTCGTGAACTGTCAAACAACTGGAGAGCGACCTGCTGCAAAACAGGCATCTGCCACATCTAACACTGCTGCTGGGACACCGCCAGGATCGCCACCGGCGACGGTATGGCACTCCTATGACGTCATCAACCGGAAATCGATATAGCACTTTTTTTTGGACGCGATAAACACATTAATTGAAGATCCCTTTTAGGCGCACCATACCCGGATTACGAATTCCTAGCCGCGGTTGCTAGACTGCCGGATGTTCAAGAATATTTCTGAACTCTCTCAGTATAAACAGCTGCGAGTGACAGCTGCGAGTGGCATCCGCTTCAAAGACGTGGTCGTCTGCAGCAGGCAGGAAGCGATAGATATTTTGAGCGGCATCAAAAAAGAACTGCCGAGACTGTAGTTCTTCACGCAGAAAGCCCTAGCCTCTATCAAATTAAATTGTTCGAAGGGCAACGCATAGAAAATGGGCTACTAGTTTTAGATATTCGACTTCATTTACCAAGAGATAGAAAAGCAACTCGGAGAATTGCATCAAATTTCTTGTCAATTAGAAATTGGCGTATAGTGTCTTTGTTGGAGATTGATTTTGGCTAATTCAGTGCAATGATTTTAGGGGAAGTCTCCAGTGGGCATCTTCTGCTGTAGACGTCACTTCGGCAGAGGTAAAGATGCTATTAACCTGAGGCCGTTAGATAATTCTAGAAGGGGGGGGGGGGGGGGGGGGGCTACATTTCCACCGAACAGCTCGGAACATCACAGTGTGCATGTGCAGTGGGATAACCCAAGCTGGGATCCAAAGCGTTGGGGCCTCCTATTCTAAAACTCTCTATTAACGCCATCAGGCAGTTGGGATTACACGTCCGCAGACCTTTACAATGTTCATACCAGCGTGCGGCCTTGTGATCAATCAATATTCCAGCATCCACCGGGTGGCTGGTATTTTGCAAATTAATACTGTCCTACACGTTGTAAAAGCTTCCCTTTCAATTTTAACTTGTTTGGAAATATTCATGGTCGCAGGGAGCTAATAAGAAATTGCGTATTATATATGAAAGTTGAGCGACCTTTACGGCTTAGGAAGCGAATAAAACCCCGTAAGAATGAAGTGTTTTATTGAAAGCGCTGAACGTAAACAGAAAACACCGCCTTCGTTCGCGTAAGAAAAAGCTCCTGCGAGGGGTGCTTCTCCCAACGCTTCTATGCTAGGGGAGAAGCTACCGCAGGTGCGCAGTTCCAATTTCGCACCCTGAATCGGCGTCTGGAACTGAGCACCTGTAGTATTCATCAAACGCTAAATAGGGCGGAAAGTGAATTTCTGCAAAGCAACAACAACAAAAACAACAAAAGACATGTAGTGACATAATTTCGATTTTGGCCGGTTTGCACTGGATTTGGACTAGGGTCACGCGTTTTCGGTAAATACCGATAAACCTCGAAAATTGACCCCAGTTGTAGTTTTACCGCATTTTGTAAAAACAATCACAAAAAGGTTTAATCAAGCCAATTAAAAAAAAAGAAAACACAAAAACAAACAAACAGACAAACGAACAGACAAACAAACAAACTATTTACAGTTTTTTTTTGCGTTGAATTAGGTTGAACTGCTTACAATGCCGCTTCTTTTTTCGGAACCACACTGCTTATCTCGTTTTCTCCTCTTATCGGTACTGGGTTGTTGTCCTGCGTATCCCGATCACGTGCATGTCCCTGGAGTTTGGGGTATCTCATGTCCTATCATCTACTCTACGACACGAGCCCCGATAAACACAGATTTTTTTTTTTTTTTGTCAGACCAAAAATTGACATTGGAAAACACCGAATTCGGGGAAAAGTAAACTTCCATACAGGGAGGACAGAAACCCATCGAAGTCAATCGATGCAGGACGCCTGACACCATAAATGCGTCATGGCCTAGCCCTCGACGCATTTCTGCAGGGCATGAGCTTCTAGAACTTAGCAGGCGGCGCCGCCCTAAATGAATGGATGCATACGGCCTGAACCCTCTAAATCGGACGGCAGCTTGCGCGACCTAGCGAGAGTTTTTAATAAAACTAGCGTTTGAATCGTAAAACAGATAAAATTTTGATCCTTGTGACTGAAGCCCCTCAGTGTTTGCAAGCCAGCAACCACCTCGCGGCAGTTTTTTGCAGGCTTGGGGTGGTTGCTAAATTGCTACAACGCGGCGCAACCAGTAGCCTGGTAATTCTTAAGCTGTGCCGAGTAGATTGTTGTGCAATCGTTTGAAAGCTAACAATTATTAAGCTACAGAGATACTAAACACAGACACTTTGGGTAGGTATAGTTCAAAATAATTAACACGCGAACACCGTACATGTTCATAAATACATACTTTAATCACACTATAAAAGTGCAACCGCTAGTCTCTTTACAACTTTAAAACATACTGGATGCTACAAAGAGTGTATAATAAACAGAGCTGCCATTTTGGTGCCTTCTCATTAAGAAGTATATCACCGAGATCTGAACAATTCTCAGAGCTCAACTAATTTGAGTCCACTTAAATGTTGTACCATGACATGCTTTTAGCTGAACATACTGAGTAAAATGCTAGAATTCATAGACTCATACCAGGAATAAAACATTATCGATTGCACAAAACAAACAAACAAAGAAACATTAAAAAAACATAAGCTAAAACTTTTTTTTTGGCATGGATTTTACGTTAGCTCGGTCCTCACCTCAAATCCTGCTGGATTTGAAAAACCTTAGCTCAGTCCTGTGCACACAAGTTATTTTTTTTAACAGCTGAAGTAGAATAGTTTGTAAAAATGATTTATTTAAATGACATTTCATTTGGAAGTGCCCATAAAATATTGTCTCACTCTTTGTTTCAGTTTACTAAGATAGTATAGTACTTGACTACGTTTTAGTACATGTGGTAGTGCATGTGCTGCATATGTTGGTGACTTGCGCTATAACAAGTGCTATTATTAGATCACCACCCCGCGCCCGTTCCGGTGTAGTTGAGTATCAGATGCGTAAAGTCAATTTTCTTCACTCACTTAAGCACCAAAACTACCAGATGCTGTAAAGTTCCAGTCTGCTTTCTGCAATGACCACGAGTTCAGAGGCACAGTTGTAGGTAAAATAAAAGGAAAACACACGACCAGCTTTCACGACCCAGACTTGCGCAACCTCGTAGCAATAGCAGAACATTGCACCAGTTTGACTCCCGTGGTGATATGTCACAGCTTCCACACACTCACTATTTCCCACTTAACGCTGTCTTGGGGCGTCCAGTTGCTCGTTAAACTAGAGGATATCCACGCTATTTTTGGTGCCTTGTTTTCGGATGATGAAGCTCGATGCCCACAGTTTTGTGTACCTTGATCCGTTCTGGAAGACAAAGAACCATTTTGGAGGACGAAGAGCCACAGAAGCTGCAATACGTCTTAAGAGTTCTGTGCAGCGCTGTTAGGTGCTGCACAGAACTCACTGGCGCTTGTGTCATAGTGCTGCATTGACGCTTGGACCACAGGTACCGCTTCACACAACATGTGAGATGGAATTAAGCTTTTCGTTCGGTATGAGCGTTTCCACTCTTGGGTTCCTGGCTTCCCTTTGGGTTCCTGTCTTCCCCTTAAGTTCCTGTGTTTCCTTGAGATCTTTTCTTGCTCCTGGGTTTCTGTCTTGCCCTTTGCTTCCTGTAATTTATTTGGGTTTCTGTCATTCATTTGGGTTTCTATCATTTGTTTGTGCTCTCGCCTTCTCCTTAGGTTCCTGTCTTTCACTTGAGTTCGTGTCTTTTCCTTGTGTTCGTGTCTTTTCCTTCAGTTCCTCTCTTTCCCTTGGGTCCCTGCAATTCCCTCGGGTTCCTGTATTTCCCGGGGGTTCCTGTGTTCTCTTTGGTTTCCCAGAGAACCTTAATGACAAGTAGATGAAAAGGCAGAAAGATTTGCATCGAGAGATAGCTCAAGGCAACGGTGGTCGCGTGCTTTCCTCTACCAAGGGCTCCCTAGACCCGGAGCCGGAGGACAGTATCCACCACGTGGGAAAGCCTTGTTGCAGACGTCGCTGACACGGTCAAGTAGGCTGGCGTTGAAGCGCAGGGCGACCCGGTCCACCAGAGATGGCTGCTTCAGGCAGTCGAAGCCCCCGAACTCGCAGATGCGGTAGTGGTGCAGGAGCGCATCTTCTTTGGAGACAGGATGGGTCGCCTGACGGCCTGCGAGACAAGATGAACAAGACGCCGTTGTCTGTGACTTAGGCTGTGTCATCTTTTTAGGAAGTTCTGAAAGGATATTTATGTTCTGTTTTAGGCGCACGCGCAACGTTGTCGGCGTAAGAAACACTTGCTGTATTCGGTCAGTATCCTCTCGCTGGTACCAATGTTGTCAATGTTGTGGCTTTATCATTAAAGACGGCGCACAGTCGTTCAATTTCCAACCCAGTGAATAAAAGATACAAGCTCTGGTTATCCCTGAAAAGAAAAAGTTGCACGTGGAATACATATGATCGTTAACGTTGGTACGATCGTGTGTATTTTCATACTTGCATACTCATGCTGAATCCCGTCACGTCACGTGGTGACATTAAGGAATAGAGAACGTCACGCCACGTGACCCAATATGTGATGTGATGGTGTGACGCTGATAACGTCAGGCTGATATATTACTTCCACATAGCTTCTTTGCGTATAATTTCCTACATGGCCTCCTGCATAACGTATACTCTGCTAATATACAGAGCATACAATGGTAGCTGCTCACAATATAGGCAACATGGTAGTGTGTACGTTCACATTTGTATATGGTTGTGTGCAAACTAGTGCAACTGAAGTTAGATTGTCGCGACGATAAAGAACTGCACCTATTACGTGCGGAATAGGAGTATTTGAGCAATATAATTAAGAGCTTACCAAAATACCGCCAGACAACATGGTTGCCAACTTCTACTGCTGTCAGCGGCTGCACGATGTACTTTGACCTTGAACCGACCCTGAATACCTTACGACTCCTCCTGGTCTTGAACTGCGTTAGCATGTAAGGCAGCTTCCTGGGGCCCACTTCCGGAACCTCCCCGTAGGCCGTCGTGTCATTGTCCCAGTACAAGTAGAAGAAAGAGTTGAGCACTATGAAGCCTGTGGCCTTAGGAGAAGTGCTCTTGATCCTTTTGATCATGGCACCCAAGGTGTCATCCTTGCGAGGCACCATGAACTCGTCCACGTCCAGCACGACCGCGTAGTCAAAATGGCGCATGGAACGGTAGACGCAGTCGTTGAGCGACGCAAAGATGCCCTCTGTTCGTATCTCCTTTTGGGACCTGGGCAGGACAAAAATACGCGCAAACTTGCCGTGAACAGTGGCTAATCCTATAGTCATTTCTAACACAAGTGAAGGACGTACTCGGAGAAAAGCGGTATAAGATGACGATACTGGACGCTGCCTGACGTAAAATCAAATCTCAATTGATTGTTTGAATTGGCATAATGTAGAATGTTTACTATCTGTATAGTCCACCAGGTTGGACTACGGGGACAGTGGTATATACCGCTTGCTGATAGACTGCGAAAAGACGGATGGAAACTGGATTGGGAATGCAAGCCTTAAACATGATTGTTCAGCCTGTGGCCTTGATGAACGATTTTCTGCAGAACCAGAAAACATATAAAACACTATGAACATCATACCTGTGCTCACAGGACGAGGTTAGGGTCTAGAATTATAATTTGGAAGGTCAGTCTGACACTAAAGCTCAACGCGCACTGTGCGTCACATAGATGGCATTTGAAGAATAAACTAAGCTGGCGTAACCCCGCTGCATATTAACAATCAATGACATATATTTAAATAAATTCCGTCGACGGATAGATCGGGAGATATTTTGACAAATTCAGATAAATCTCATTGAACTGTAAAGAAACGGGACTTACTTAATGTCCAAATTCCAGGGCAGCATGGTTACCACCCCACTTTCTGTGTACCCTTTTAGCACCTTTTCCACGTTGAGACCCGTCGAGTGATTGTAGAAAAAGAAATGGTCCACACCAACAATCCGATGAAACTCAATGAACTCTACAAGCCACGACGCTCTGTCGTACTTGTAGTGGAACGGCTTTACGCATATGGTGAACTTCCCCACTGGATGACCCTCAATGGGCCCTTGGGGCGTGACTGGTATTGACGGGCTCCACTGCAACTCGTACGTTTCCTTCATCCGAACCCTGGTAGGAGGATCGTCCTCTTTGTACGGACACATGAAGAAAGATGCGCCATACTTTAACTTCCAGTTTTCGTTGATGGTCTTCTTGGTGGCGTTCACAACGACCCTCCTGCCGTTGGAGTACTCAAGCATGCAGGACAACTTCGCTCCCCCAACACACGCGTAAGCCCCGATGACTCGGACTACGGGCTCCGCAATCCGATTGTCAAGGTACGCGGAGTAAAGAAATAGTCTGAGTTTAGTTCGCGGGTAGGTGTCCGTTGACACCCAGTCACCGTCACGAGCCGGCTGCGCTGGATACACATCTTCTAAAGTGCCCCCGTTCCGCGGTGTGAGTGTCTCCAGTGACGTCGCCTGGACAGCGGTGGTCTTTCGGAGTGTGTCCTTCTTGGATGTCGGAGTGCCGGAAGCGGGTGAAGTCGCATGTTCTGTAACTTGTGCTTGGGCTTTGTCTTCGTCGACATCCTCCAGTTCTACCGTGGGGTTTTCTTGAAGAAGGCTCGTCCAGAAGGTTAAGAAGAGGAGCGTGCAGAGGACGACAGTGCCTCGGAAGACCTGGCGGATGCGTGGAGGGCGCCGGAGGCGATCGGCCTGACGGCACCGCAAGCAGCAGCGTATCCACAGGGACATCCTTCACCGAGAGGATCATGGGGCCCGGCCTGCGGACTGTCCACCCCTTGGCCAGGGCGCTGCTACCGGACCATCGGGCTTTTTCCAGGGCTGACCTCCGCCCCTGAAAGATAAGGGAACGTGTCGGTTAAAAACTCACTCTATCTTCGTATTAATAACGTCGTAACCAACATACAGCCATGAAATTGCGCGGTGTGGTACTCGGGACCTGTGAAACAAAGTGCAGAAAAATTGCATCAGGTCGTTTGTGTTTGGCGCGCTAATTAGATCACATTTGCTAAAAATAAAAATGAAACATAATCACGTGTGATGAGAGTTTGAAGCTGTTAACTTGTTTTGGATGACCTGAGTATGCGAGCATTCACAGGCGACATGGACGACGCATCCTTCAAGGCGAATACAAGTTTTTTTTTTTAATTGATAGTAGCAGTTGTCCATAGTGTCAAGTTATTATTTGTATTTCGTGTAGTCCTGACTAACAATTTTATTTACGAACATTTTAACAGGCTAGGATTGCCCGTCCATGTTCGACATCGTAAAACAAGAGTCGCGACATTTAAAGATACCGATTCGATATTTTGCATGTATGTTAAGAAATAAGTCTGTTTTCACAAAGGATTTATGATGGTTAAGAAAGCTAATTTGAACAATTACAGCTGAATGTTGTAACTGATGGGAATGGCCAATTTTAACCAAAGATTAATCTGAATCGCATAAGTCAGGCCAGTTAAAACTTTTAACTCTGAAAATATAAGCAGGTAATGATGGGTGTCGCGGATGACGAAGTTATCAGTGACACAAAACGTACAAAACACTCAGCATTTTTTCATCAATAATTTTAGTTCTTTTTTTTTGCGTCCTGGTCAAACATTTGGTACGTATTTGCTTCAACCACTGATCAAATTAATGTCAACCGAACTTCAAACGTCTTAGTGTCAAGATGACTCAAGAGCTAACAACTTAGATAAAAAAAAGAAAAAAAAAGAAACAAAATCCCACACTATCTACACTGCGAATTACACAACGCCGGACGCGACTATGAAGGGTGAACTTCGACACATATTTGTACGTGTGAAACATTCTAGGAAAATAAGATGGCAATACTTCAAGGAAATTTGAAATATTCCCGTCGTGTTCAAAAATAGGTTGAATATGATCCACAATAGCCGTAAACGACAATCGCACGTTTGTATTTTGATCCTGGTGGCTGTATTTTTCGTTATAAACGGCCCACTCTGGCAAGCGCTCGGAGAAGGCCCAGCTTAGAGCACGTGACATCCAACGCAGTCGTGACGTAGGTCGTCTCAAGACGAGCAAAGCTACGGCGAGGCTGACGTCGAGAGGATGGCCTAGTCGTTCCAGCCACCGAAGCGGCTGCTTTTGTACGAATTTTGAGTGACGGGTTAATCTTCTATAATCTTCTAGGGGGACAATAGCGACTTCTGCGACACACAAAAGGGATTCTCGGGAAGAGGGGAGTTCCTCCTTCCCCCCTTCTCTCGTCGTGGCCGGAGACGAGACAACCTCCGTCACTAGCTGTCAAGGTTCCTAGACGAGCATTACAAACGAGGCGCTAGCGACATCCACGAGGTGCTCTTTGCTAATCGTTTAATTCGTTTTAAAATTCCTTTTCGAGACTTTTTTAACAAGATATTGGTATGTTCCATGTGATACTGCTCTTTTGAACAGATAGAGACCAAAAAATGAGCGCCGAAATTTCGTTGTAGTATCCCTTTAAGACCGAATTCTTATGACCCCCTACGACGAGAAAACACACTGACACGCTGGCGCCATCTATGAGGCGACCCTGGAACTGCATTTTACCAAAGCGATAGTTTTGCGGTATTTTCCATATCAAATGTACGTACTATCAACGAGAGAAACGGTCGTTAATAACTTCGCCAGAAGCTTTTCAAATAAACAAAATGATGCGCAGAGAAAAAAAACACGAATATTTTAAGTGTTTTTACGGCTATCCGATAGATGGAGCTAGCTTACTTTCTCGGCGTAAAAAACATATTAAGGTGATTAAAGCACACAGTTGTAATCAGTCGCATATGTGTGAACCAGCCGTAGTTCGGGTCCCCAGTTCCGGAGACAATTCTAGAGACGTGGGAAGCAATCTTACCCACAACGGTGAACGACGCGTAAAAGAACCTCGATGGCTGCCGTTGGCCAAGCAACGGACGCCAAGCGTCGGTGTGAACGCGGTGGTGCCTCTCAGGAGCCGTTCTATCTGCGCGTTCGAGTGCCGGTTGCACCGCAGCCGGGAGATCTAGTCCGAACGAACGAAATCGATTTCTGCTAACCGGGGCTGTCGAGCAGCACGGCGCGGCGGACGGACGTGAACGCGTCTTATCAACTCGTAATTCCTCTCAGCGAGGTCGAGAGCGAGCAGATCACGGCGGAAACGGCTCAAGCGGTTGAGCGAAGCTGCAGCAGCAGGAGCAGCAACGGCGAGAGATAACGTTTATGGAAGCCTCGCTCCACTTAACGTTTTAACCCATTTGGACCGTATCATTCCGTAGACTTTTCCTCGGACACGTTCCTATTGATTGGTAGCTTATCTCCTTATGCAACCTTTCTAGAAGCTCGTATACGCTTTCTCACAATATGCAACGTGCAAAAAAAAAAAAAATATATATATATCAAAACTGATTTTGTTTTTTGTTGTCTTTGGAATCGGGTTCGAACCGACAGCTTCTATATTCGGGCAGAAACTGAGCGTTCGACGAGGCGCAGTTTATGTTTGCTTTGAAAAGAACCCTGTAATATTTTTGCGGGGAATACCCTGTACACATATACCCAATTCAACACCGCTGGATTATCTAAAACATTGTATGTCAGAAGCGGCAGTGTTTTCAGTTTGTTCGTCACCTCCTGAGGGCCAGCGCGGGTCGCGGATTGGACACGAACGTGGCGTCAGCATTCGGCTCGTACTCGTGCCCCAATCAGAGAGAACTCGAGTCGTAGCCGAATGGTGACGTAACACTCGTATCCAATCAGTGCTCTGCGTTGGCCTTCTTTAGTTGACGTCGAAAATTCGGCCCTGTGGCTTGGTTGTCTATACTCGTCACAGCAAGAAAGAAGGACGTTTTGCGCACTATACGTGCGCTCCATGAACTAGTTCTTGCAATATTTAGTTTTCGAGAAAAAAAAAAAAAAGACATTAAGCGAAACAACATAAAAAAGATGCCATTTTGCTTTCAAAACGTGCACGACTTGATAAAATAATATAAAGCTAATCTATAGACCCTGGTTAGTGCCGCACTCCCGACTTAGCTATGGCAATCACATGTAAAGATCTACCCTCCACCCAGTTTCTAAATTTTTTTTTTTTTTGTGTGAACTTTATATAGAAATATTAAATGAGTCCCCGAAAAAGTTAGGTTCATTATTTCTATAATGGTTTCTCCCACAGATATCCTAAATAGTTGATTTATGAATAGGCTGAATGCGTTTACTTTCCTTTTCCTGCATTGTTATCCTTTATCTGTGATGTTTCATAAATGTGCCAAACGTTTGTTTTTTCTTTTATGAAGTGTTTGTCTGTTCTGTATCGGGGAGGAAAAACAAGAGGGGGGGGGGGGGGGGGCAGAGTCTCGTCAAGCAGCAAATAAGTGGCTTTTTCACTACCTCCCCTTTTTCTAAAAATGAGGACAAGTAAATATATGTAAGTGCATACTAAATTTTAATTCAACTATATCTTAATCAGCAGATGAAGGGGAAAATTGTAACGTCCTAAAAAAAGACTGATTTTTTTTTTTTTTAAGTTTTTACTACGGTTCTTAAGCTGAATACGTGTATAGGAGGAGCTGTTGCACAGATTAAGCAAGACTGCGAATTGGAAACGTCAGTGGAACGTCCAGTCCTGCTGTCTATAGGATTTCACTCGCAAAACTGATCTGTCCAGAACTACAAGTTTTGGAGAAATAAAAAAATTCTACCGATCGCGTCGTAGCCAGAAGGAGCGGAGAAGCAGTCCTGTCGCCCACCGGTCCGGAGGCATACGCTACGTCCAATTAGGCCCAACGCTACATTAAATCATACCCCGCAAAAAATGTCAGAACACCGATCTCTTATTGGCTCGTTGAAAAAAAGAATAGTGGGTAGACCTCAAGGTATACAGCATTGAGGTCTACCCACTATGTTTTCAATCAAAGCCAATCAGAACTGGCCGTCGTTCTGACGTCACTGCAACCCCTGCACAGAAAAGCAGACGACTTGCTCTTCGTATACCAGGGCCGGCTTGCTAGAACAGCGTATCAGCTGAGACACGGTGAAAGAAAGCACTGCAAAGGCTGGGACTCGCGAGCGTCTCGAGACGAGGCTTGAGTCCGGCTCAGCTCGTGCGCTGGCTTTGGCAGTGCTTTCTTTCTCCTAATCTCGGCTGAGACGCTGTTTGTAGCAAGCCAGCCCAGATGCCGCTCTTAATTCTTTATTCATCTGGCTCTTCTCTGTGACGTCACGGCGCGGTGGTGGCGCGTCGGTCGCACTTCCGGTCTGGGGCTGTGGGCAGAAGTCCCCATGCCAGACGTGTATTCCTGCGTTGTTTTGAAAGGAACCAGACGAAAATTTGCTTTCTCGTCAAAACGCCGCGACTGGGGCCGTACCAAAAGTGTCGAGAAAGGTTTGAAGGTCAGTTTTCAGCTGCTCGGTTCGTCCGAGAATCTGGATATGTGCCGTGAGAAGGGAAAAGCAGACGCCGTCGGACACGATTGCTTGGGCGGGAAGCACTTTGGGTTGAATTCACGGATACTTCTGGTCATCAGATTTATTTGTTTTGTTCCAACATGAACGCTAGAAAACTGTCAAGTTGTGCGGACCACCTGTGGAGTACGTTCAGTGCGTCTTCAAGTTCAAACGGCCGCCTGATTGTTCGAAGTGTCGTCTGCTCTTTTAAACGTTTCTGCTTGTCGTCTGCTCTCTTAGACGACGCCGGTCCGTAGACCAAATGTTGGCCCGGTACTTGCGATAAGAAGTGAGTGCAGGCCTCAAAAGACTTAAATTTGAAGGTTGGTAAGCAGGCTCGATGTAAACAGTAGATACAAGGAGATGTTGGTCATTCCAGTGACCAACACCGACTTGTTGTTATGCCTAACT